TGTTTAACTAAAAGAAATAATACATAATTCTTTAAAGATTGACTATGCTAATAACTCATGAACTACAGTTTGGTTATTTAGACTTCATTATTATGTGGGAGATAGTGATACCATTCCTTACCTGCTTCAACCCAAAATAAATGAATCCAAAGTTGGAACTTTTATCTCATTGGTTAAAATTTAAGTTTTCTAACTGCAAAACTACCACAATTTGCATCTAAGATTTTAATTGAATTTATTTCAAGTCAGTCCTTGTATTATCAATTCGACCTACCCCCCCCATCCCCCCCATCCCGCTTTTTTCTTGTTTCTAACTATTAAACGAACTTCCGGTATAATGGATTATAATTACTCATGAATTTATCTATATTTCATTATTAATAGTCGATGATAATTTTTTATTAGATGATTTGTTTTCAAAATCTCTAATTATCCTCACTGTTAAATCAATATACTACTGAGAACTTCACTTATCTTAAAAGTATGATTAACCCTAATGAGTTGGTGTTTGACGAAATTTCTGCACCGATTCAGAAAGCTTATTTGACTTTTGCCAACTTATGTCACCTATGGCGGAGGCGATATATTCGCCTATCAATTATGGGACCAGTATAGTGTGCAGCAGATCGTTCTGTTCTAATTTACGGCTGCGAAACATGGCCACTGAGAGTAGAAGATACTCGTAAGCTACTAGTATTTGATCTCAGATGTCTTAGAAATATTGCTCGCATCTTCTGGGATCACGGGTGATTAATAGTGAGGTTAGACGCGTAGGGTATTAGGAATGATGGTAAATCAGTCGATGAGGTTGTAAATCTTCATCAACTGAGATGGTTGGGCCCTGTGTTACCTATGCCTGAACACTGACTACCACAACGCGCAATGCTGACTGGTGTTCGGACTGGTTGGAAGAAAGTTAGGGGCAACCAAATCAAAAACGTGTCGTTGGTCGATAACGTTATTAACTTATAGTCTGAGCCATAGTTGGAGACTGTGAGTGACACTTTTCAGAATCGATCGTAATGGCGTGTATGTATACACTCTTTCTTTCTGCGAACTAATATTTTCTTCCTGTATTATATCCTTATACATAATCTTTCTTTTATATATTACTATCATTGATGTAAGCAGTTTTATAGATTTGGTGTTCATGTTGTTGTGCTAATGAGTGAGGTATGGCAACTTGAATCAAATCATTTGTACAGGTTTATATTTACAAATACTTCTAGCTAATAAGTTTCAAATAGTACTGCTTGCGCTTCATGAATTTTATTGGTAACTATTATCCAATTTCATAAGAGTATTCAATGAGTATACATAATTCCATACAGATTTGAAGCAAGAATACGTTGTCACAACTAATGCAAATAATATTCTATGTTGTTTTAGTAAATTCACTTATTATATTCACTTCAATATTAGACGTATTTAATATATGTTTCAATTGATTTCCCATATTACTGATTCTACATCTTTACATGGTAGCCTAACTCGACCGTTAACATTGCTTATTTGGTTATTCAATCATCTACATCTACATTATCAACTTTTAACCTGATCTCAGCTTTCATATAATGATGTATTCATTGAAATAAAATTAAACAAATCGAACTTATACTTAGTAACTATATATATATGTTTATATAAAGTTTGTATTTCAATACCATACACTCAGTTACTATTATTTCTATAGATTTAATATAAACCTATTCGTTTTTTTTGTTGTTGTGGGGGATGGGTTGGCGGTGGGGGTAATCAAAACCTTCAGATTTAGTTTATCTGATTGTCAAATCTGTCACAATCAAGTATACATTTATATATTGATCTATGCATATTATTATTACTGACTTTTAGAAGTTTTATTCAATTTACAGATTACTTTGTCATTGTCAATAAAGTAGTTGGTTAATTTACCCTTTGCCAAAGAAACAAAAGAAAACACACATCATTTTTCTCCCCATTTTTTTCCTGAGTTAATTTCAATTGATTAATGATTATTATTATTATATTTGTCAGTAATAAATTGATTATGTATAAAAAAGGGAAATTGGTCAAATGGGGGGGGAAATAAGGTAGATGAAGTTTAGAGGTGTAGAATATGAGAAAGAAATGAGCAGAGTGTATGTGTGTGTGTGTGCGAGAGCAAGAAAGAGAGGGAGAGAATAAGAGGACAAATCAAACAATTGACATAAAGAAAAAAAAAGAGAAAGAGAATTTACTATAAGTTTCATGTCATAATTTAATCAATTTCCTGTCACTATTTCATTCATGCATATCACTAATTTTTTTTTCTCTTCTATTTTCTCTCATTTATATTTCGATTAAGTATATCGGTCAAGATATTGTTTCTAATTTCATTCAAAGTAAACAATCAGAATGTATTTTTTTTATAAAGCAAAGATGAATATTGGCTCGTAGGGGAATCTAGGATGCGCTAGAGTTGTTTTTCACTCCGGGAATCGGACTCAATACCGTTCACTTAACTACTGAGTTCTGATAGCCATCTGCTTGTACAATGGAGTGAAGTTAAATTCACTTGGTACTGTTTGCTTGTATCTTCCCGTTGATGTTTAGGACTGCAACTGATCAGTCTCATGTTGGCATATGTGCATCCTGTACTGATTACTTCAATATAGCTTTATAAGCAAAGAAGAATAGTTGTTAGTAGGGGAATCCAGGATGCGCATTTCATCCTATTTGATACCTATTATCTAAATGGATCTACATCCTAGAGTTGATATTCACTCCAGGACTCCAACCCAATACCGTTCGTTTCAAACGCCGCCATCACCATAAGAATATATAATTACAATAGTTCACTTTATTTATTTATTTACTTAAGTTATTGTTGATTAGAAATGGCTAATCCTCCTAATTCCATTCTTATTTTATCTTATTACTGATAATTTTACTTTGATTTACTTCTCTTTCAATTTGATTAAATAAGAATAAACTTTATTTGTGAGAAAACATTGTTTGTTATTGTTTTTCTCTTTTTTTCTCTTTTATTATTTCTCTCTGTCACTCACTTTATATTATTACCTTATTTCCTGTTCTGTTTTTGTTTTTGTCTTGCGTTTTATTTTAATTTCAAAAATGACCTAATTTTTCTCTTTGTTTTTCTGTTTTTTGAAAAACAGAAAAACAAAGAGAAAAGAAGAAGCGATTTGTTACTGTATGTGTATAGAATGATTCGTGTATAAGTTGAATTATTTTTATGTTTAATCTAATTATTATAAGATAGGTATTGATTTACTAGTAAAATGCATATCATTATGATCAATTACTTTTGGGTTGGAATCCTGAGCGTAGGGATCGTGGATTATTTATTTATTTGAACACATAGATATTGGTACAAGGAGGCACCAAATACATATACGACACACAAATCTCATTTGATATGTGTGAAGGCTGTGATACTGTCCGGGTGCCCAAACCGAAACAGGTGGTTTTCTTAGGTGACCACACCTAGAGCCTTCAGCCTAAAGGTCTGATCCACAAGACAGTGGAGCAACCTCAGGAGATGAAGTCCCATGGTAACTGGTGACCAACGATTGGTTCATATGCCATTTATTCCTTCAGGAAATTGGAGCCCATGTGCACCATTGGTTTGGAATGAGGGTTTTCCAACTCCCCTAGGTGGACTCTTCATGTCCACCAACCCAGTTAAAACGCCGGACATTCGCTTTTGGTCCTCTCAATTTCGTAAACAACACCCCCGCCACAAGAAGACAATGAGTAGGTCTTCCCTGGCAGAGGCTATATACGCGTGGCTATATGAGAGCATTTCGAGAGGGAGAGCGGACTCTCCCCATTCTCGGCCGTACCAGGGCATTTGAGGACTGTTGAGGAATCTCATACTAGGACAAAATAGTCATTTAGTGCTTCCATGTTTTCTATAGTGGTATAGTTTTAGTTGACTCATGCATTCATCTATTAAATTACTATAGTATCCACACAAAAAACCCTTCTCTGTTTATATCATTATTACTAAATAATAGTTGGATTTTTGGTTTTATGGAAAACTAATAAGCAATGCCTGATGTAGGGAATACGATGATGAATTAGGGAAATATTTACCAACTGAGGTGGTTTAAACATGTGTTACGTATGCCCAATCACCTCCCACCTCGATGTGTAGGAGTAGGTTGGAAGAAAGTTAGGAGAGGGCAAATCAAACACATGACATTAATATATGAAGTCACTGACAGTTGTACTGAGTCGTATTAGTAAGTGTAGACTAACTTGGTTAGGTCCTGTGTGATTATCAAAACCTGCGGTTAAATACTTTAAATGACATGGCTAAGAATGTTTTGAAATGATGCATGTTCATCCATTTTTGATCTTTACCCAAATTCTAAGCTTCTGAATTCCTCTTAACTTTTTTGTGTGTTGTTATTTCATTAGTTTATATTTTCTCAAGCCGTATCTTCAGTGATTAATCTTCCATATTACCATTCATACTATTCTGAGATTTGGCTTGACAATTTCATCTCTCTGTGCTAATGGGGTATTGGAACCTGAATTAATGTACATACGTACTAGGTTCTACCTTGTAACCGACTGATTGAATGATGGTCAATAGTAGTACATTGTGTGTGTACTAGTCATCAGTTTCTGTAGGATAATGAATGAATATGACGGCTTTTGAGACCTACGACGGAGCCTCTAGAGGCACTAAAGGAGCCTATACGTTTCCATCCAGTCAGGACGTGATAGAACATTCTAGAATATCAGTGTAGCATGCTACTATTGAACAGTAGTATAACATGTCTCTTTACGGATTGGCTGAATTATAATGTCCATTTAACAACCGCTAATATATATAAATGCCCATGATTTTCTGTACATTTTGATTCTTACACAACAAATACTATTTCTGTCTTGTGATTTGCGACTGTGGGAATTCTATACGTTCGAGTGTCGTAGTTGTATACTGTATTTTGCATTAATCAAGTAGTGAACATAACAGTCTTAATGATGTTTTATTCTTTTCATAGGTGTTACTCTTCATATACCGGATACTGTAATGGGATTAACATTTATTGCAGCTGGTTCTAGTGTACCAGATGCAATCGCTTCAGTAATTGTTGTTCGTGAAGGTAAGTTAACATCTATTAATTTTAAACCTTTAATTTCTTTTCTAGTTACTATATGTTTTATTTATTTCTCAAAGCTCATCATTTTTAAATAGAGGTAGCTATATCGTTTTTCTACAGTTCGATAGTCCGAGACATTGCTTAAGATGTGTGTTTAGTCTAGTGATACATTAATCGGTCATTCAGTCCCTTCAATTTTGATAAGCCTTTTAATTTAACACTACTTTCGGTTCCTAAGCTCTTCTAGTAACCTTTAGACTAGATCTACACAGCGACTTGAACATGAGAGAAAAGGCGCGAAATATGGAAGAAACAATTTAATCCAAAGCTCCGTTTACGTACAGAAAATCTAGGGTTTTTATAGCATTTTAGATCACCTGGGGCTTCCGGAAAATTCTGGAATGCTACCAAACATAGTAACAGTATAAGTAATTATCCAATCAGAAGCTCGGCACGTGACTTTTCACTTCCTAGATGTTTCCGGCGGAACTCCTAGTGACTGCTGTTTAGATAAGATGCTTCTCTGAGTTTTCAGAGACTTTTTTGGCTTTTCTCGAGGAGTTCTCTAGATCTCCCAAACAGATTTTATGATATCCAATGTTGATGATTTTACAAGTTACTGAATTCAGTTATTGTGGTCATTCCCTCCTTGTAGTCACAACATCAAATATTGTTCATTCTATGAAGGCACATATGTGTCTGGTCCTACATTGTAGTTAACTGACTGACTGACCAGTATAGAGTATTTATGAAACCTCACTCTTTGAAATATTACTGCTAGCAAATCTGAAAAAGAATATGCCGGGTTAAATAACCCTGCTTAATCACAATATTAGTTTAAAATCAAGTAAAAGGGTAGTACGGTGACAATAATTGTATACAATCATTGTTAAGTAGTGAAAAGCATAGAGAAAACTTGCAATTAAGTCAATCTAGTAACTACTGAAATGTTTGCAAGGAAACTTATACAACAATTTAGTAACTACTAACGAGTATTATAGTAATATTTTGTTAGTCTATAATATTGCTATAAGGGTATGTTAAAGTAGCTAGTTCTAGTAGAGTCTAAAAAGTGTAATAATGTCATGATCATGATACAACCTGCATTGAATTGATATGTACTCGCTTCGAAGTCAAACTTTTTATATTAGATGTAAGCCGATTCAACCGGAGTGAAATGGAATAGTCCAAAGCGGACTAGGAGCCCATTATTACAGTGTAACAAAGAAAAACATATTCAAAGATAGTATTAAGGATCTACGAATGGAAATATAAAATATTAGATGTTAATGAAATTAATTAGCGACTTCGTTAATGATGTTCATGAAGGATATTTTATAAAGCGACATGTAGGCCAGTGCTCTATGAATATATTCACATGAATGAATATATGTGTTGGTGTTAGTTTACCATAGGATATAAAACTTTTCAACCTGGTCTGATTATTATCAGGATATTAAAATTTGAAGTAGTTTGATTTGTAGTTCGAAATCTGTTTTTCCGATTTGGTTTGTACTTAACATAGTACAAACCATAATTGTCCATTGGTCCATGTTTCCAAATTAAAGATAATTCACTTGGTATTGTTTGCTTGTATCTCCCATTGTTATTTAGTCCAGTTGATCAGTCTCTTGTTGGCATATGTTCACCATATGCGGACTGCACGTTTTATGAGAGAAAATAGGACGCGTGTCTTGTCCTGTTTGGGACTCGTCAGCTGCATGTATCGGCATCTCAGGGTTGATGTTCACTCCGGGACTGAAACCCAGTACCATTCGCTTCAAACTCCATCGCGTTATCTACTTAACTTCTGAGTCCTGATAGCCACCTGCTTGTGGCGAAGTTTAATTCACTTGGTATTGTTTGGCTTGTATCTTACCATTGTTGTTTAGGACTGTATATGTGCATTCCCTACAGACTGTGTCGATACTGCTTTAGTCACAAGCTTTATAAGCAAAGATAAGTAGTGGCTAGCAGTGGAATCCAGGACGCTCGTTTCTTCCTATTTGGGACGTCCACGTGACGGGTCAATATCCAATACATCATTTCTACAGTGGTTTATTCTCATGTACACACTTCTACTCATGATTCATTAGTTCATTAATAGTCTCCTTGCATTTTATTAACTACTGTAGTTAAATACATACAATTGACTGTTGTTGTTCTTCTTCTTTATATCTTTGATTAACGTTGAATATTTACTATGAGTAAATGAGGACAAATTGATTTGGCGGGAGTTGTAAAGACTATACATATAAAATGGTAGCAGGAGTTAATGTTGATATTTTAGATTCTTCTCGCAAGGCTGTAGAATATATTCGTAATTAGAAACTTTAGTTATGTACTTTAAGCAATCTATTAAGATAAACAAAATCGAACTCACATTTCAGTTGCTTTGATTCTAAAGAATGAATATTATAGAAAGAAAAATCTTAGACAAATGCTACATATTCCTTACAATCATCTACTCAAATAGACATTATTAGCTGGTGTTGAAGTAAGTTAATGGTAGGCTAGGCGTGTTCAAACTAAAACGTGACATAAGTCCATAGAGCAATTGACTGTTGATCTGAGCTATATTAGTATATGCAGACTGTTTGATTATCGTGATCAATGATCAGGAATCTTGAGTAACATGACTCCGAATTGATCATAATGACATAAATCCATTTACTTTTTATCTTGAGGTCCAGTATCCCTTCATACATATCTTTTCATTCCTTCTTTCCTAACCATATTCTTGATTCCTAGTCTTTCTTATTATCATTGCTACTACATAATTTCTACTTGTTCAGTATTTATCTTGTCGTGCTAATGTGGCATGGTGAATTGGTTTATACAAGTTAGCCAGACTCTACGTTGATTATAACTAATCAAATGATCAGATATTTTAGTGTCGCTAGCCCTTTACATAATCAGAATCTTCAATACGAACGTCAGCACAGTTCTACTATACGGAGCTGAATCTTGGAGAACGACTGCAACCATCATCAAGAAGGTACAAGTATTTATTGATAGTTGTCTACGCAAAATACTCAATGTCCGTTAGGCGGATATCATCAGCAACAGCCTTTTGTGGGAGAGAACAAACCAGCTTCCAGATGAAGAGGAAATTAGGGAAAGACGATGGAAATGGATAGGGCATACAGTATGCATCACGAGGCCAGCCCTAACTTGTAATCGTGAAGGTATGTGGAAAAGAGGAAGGCCAAAGAACACATTACGTCGGGAAATAGAAGTAGATATGAAAAGGATGAATAACAACTAGTAAGATCTGGAAAGGATTGCCCAGGACAGATTTGGATGGCGAGTGTTAGTGGGCAGTCTATGTTCATCAACGAGGAGTAACACGCATAAGTAAGTAAACCCTTTACACAGGTCATTTTAGCTCCAAGTCATGACCTAGTTACCTTTCCAATCTTCAACTACATTTCATGAATAATACAACATCAAGATAATATCAATGTGTTTACATTTTTGTATAGGTGAAGGTGATATGGCCGTATCAAATGCAGTAGGTAGTAACGTATTTGACATATTAATTTGTATGGGTTTACCATGGTTAATTAAATCAATCATTTCTCAAGCGCCAATTGTCATCTATTCTAGAGGTTAGTTGTTTCCTTACTATAATGTAACTTTAATATGTACACAGTAAATAGTTATTATTAATTGAGTAGCAACTGTTTTGGTTGAGAATTTCTTAAATGATTCTTATGAATTAACATTCTAATCTCGAAATGTTCCTGATATTCAAATGCAGTGTCGTATCATTGAGGGAGTTCATAAACAATGGGAATAAAGAGTTGTTATCAACACCTTTAGTCGGTTTATGGATTTTATTGATTAGAATATATTTTTTAAATTGGGCGTCGAAATGCTCTCACATGGCCATATGCATACAACCACTGCTGGAGAAGTCCTACTCACTGTGTTCTCGCGGCATTACTGTTGTTTACGAAATTGTGAGGACCAAAAGCGAGTGTTCGGTGCTTTAACCGGGTTGTTGGATATGGAGTATCCATCTAAGGGAGTTGGAAAACCCTCATTCCAAACCAATGGTGCACATGGGCTACAGTATCCTGAAGGGACAAATGGCGTATGAACCAATCGTTGATCACCGGCTACCATGTGACTGCACCTCCTTACGATGCTCCACAGCCTTGTGGATCAGACCTTCAGGTCGAATCCCCCTAAGAAAACCACCTGCTTCGATTTGGGCACCCGAGCAGTATCACAGCCCTCACACATATCAAATTAGATTTGTGTGTCGCATATGTATTTGGTGCCTCCTTGTACCAATATCTATGTGTTAAAATAAAGAAAAATCATGTCAGTCCGTCAAATATAAAAACCCTCTGTATACGATGACATACATGTAATACCATCTATTTTTCTTTTTGTTTTCATTGTCGTTATAGGTTTATTATATTCAACATTGACTTTATTCACAACCGTTATATATCTTCTAGTTGCAACACATATTAATCGTTGGCGTTTAACTAAAATTTATGGTTATGCATTACTTATTGGTTATATTATTGTACTTGTATTCTGTAGTTTATATGAATTGAATTATTTTGGTACAGTCCATTTACCATCATGTCCATTAAATGAATGAATATGAACTATTCTATTCATATATATTCATGCCATAATATGAAAATAGGATTATCTATATAGATGAAATTTCCTCAATAAATATAAAGACGCTATGTACTACTATTATCATTATTAGTAGTAGTACTTCACTGTTCTATGATTTGTTTGTCTTTTTTCCTCATTTGTCTACTTTATTACAATATATTAGTAATAGTCAAGAGTTATCTCTATTTTATTCCGTATTTTGTTGAATGCTAATCCTGTTATTCACAATTTAAAAAAACATTTCATAATGCATAATCCAAACATTTATTATTTGTAAATCAATCTTGTTAACCATTTTTCTTTTAATTCACTAATCATATTTCTATCCAATATTTTGTTGTCAACAGTCCTTCCCCCCTCCCGTTTTTTTCTATTTCTCTCTCTCTCTCTCTCTATGTGTGCTTTTTTGTGTTGGGCTAACTAGGGTCATCATTATCATCATCATATTACTATTATTGATTTTTCAGTTTTTATTTCGAAGCATTTTAATTGGGATTTTTATTTCATCAAATGTTATGGGTTGAAATATATTTCCTTTCTACGGTATATAATTTCTTTATTTGTCATTGGGACAATACAATAATTATTGCCCATAGTTTTGATTAATCTAACCAAAACAAAGGGGAAATTATGCATCATTAGAGTGTTTCTGCCCTCCCCACCAAATGCCTTGGTAATGCCGAGAGTGGGGAGAATTCACTGTCGCTATCGAATGGCCACGTGTATACAGTCACTGCCTTCTAGCGGTGGGGGTGTTGTTTACGAAATTTTGAGGACCAAAAGCGAATTTCCCGTACTGTAACCGGGTTGGTGGAGACAGAGGATCCATCTAAGGGGTTGGAAAACCCTGATTCCAAACCAATAGTGTACATTGCTTCCAGGAACGAATGGCGTATGAACTGATTATTAGTTACTGGCTACCGTATGACTGCATCTCCTGACGTAGCTCCACTACCTTATGGATTAGACCTTTAGGTCGAAGGCTCTGTGCGCGGCCACCTAAGAAAACTAACTGCTTCAGTTTGGCACCCGGAAAGTGTCACAGCCCACACACAAATCGAGTGACTTGAGTGGCGCATATGTATTCGGTGCCTCTCCGTAGTAATATTTGTTTAAACAAATAAAATAATACTCCTGGAGAAGGATATATGAGTAATGATGTTGTATAGGTGGTTAATCCGTTTATTATACTCTATATGTAATTAGATCTTATCTTGTTGTGCGACTCGGAGGATATCGTATAGATTATTTGACGATCCAACATATCTTCAACTCACAATGATGAAATGCGGGATCATCAATATGTGTATGGTCATTGATAATTTACACAAAAAAACAAGGCCATTGCTACAAGCTCTGATGAGTACATTCAACAAGTGAATATCATCATCTTTGATGAAATCGATCAACTTGTGATAGGTATAACAATTGTATAAATTGCGTCATAAAAGTATATCTAGTCTATAGATCATTCTGCAGTTCCCTAGAAAAGTATGTTTATAGATTGTTTACACGTTGAGATCATGAACTGATTAATGTTGGACCATCATTGAAAACCTAGAAGCACTGGACTGCCGTTTCGTCCTATTATAGGACTCCTCAACAGTGCGAATCCACTAAGAAGTACAAGACAAAGAAAAACAAAGAAGAAGCTCATCGAATTTAACATAAACTCTAGATTTATTTATTTTTCTCTTTTTAAATACAAATATAAACATGAAACATCAATAATTAGACAAAGGAATACATATACATGATAGAGTGTTTATCTTCTTTTTACATTTTGATAATTATAATCAATTTTTAGAAAATATCCATGCAACATTTAAACCTGATGGACCAAGTGAAACAGATCTATTCAAATAGAGATAAAAAACAACAAAATTAAGACTGTGGATCTGGCTCACTCATGTACAAATTTAACGAGGAATATTGATTCTTTTAATATTTAGGTACGGGATATTATGTAGTGTAGGCGAGATATCCGTCTATCAACCAAAGGATGGGTTTACTGCGCAGCAGTTTGTTTCATTCTACTTTATGGCGGTGAGACATGGCCAGTAAGAGTAGAGGATATTTGTAGGTTACTAGTATTCGATCATAGGTGTCTTCGAAACATTGCTCGTATATCCTGAGACCACCGAGTAAGTAATACAATTGTTAGGGAACGAGTACTAGGTAGGGATGGCAAATCAATTGATGAAGTAGTGAAACTTCGTCAGTTGAGATAGCGCCAATAAGTATGCCTGTGTTCTAGAATCTGATGAATGGTGAATATATGGTCGATGCAGCCACGACCAGGTCTGAAGCCAGCTTGAGTCTCTCGTGTTTGCAGTTCACGAGTCTTAGTTAGGCGTCTGATAATTATCGAAGCTAGTATTTTAGATATTATATTAGTTAAACTAATCCCTTTGTGGTTGTCACAGGATGATTTTGACCCTTTCTTATATATTGGGACGATAAGTGATTGTGACCAGTTAGATGGAATAACGTCTAACTCCCAGATTTTAGCTAAAATATTAGTCAACCTAATCGCTAAAATTGGACCACCATCCTTAAAGACCTCTGGAGCCAGTCCATCTGGACCAGCTGCCCTTCCTCGCTTCAGATTAACTATAGCCTTTTGAACTTCAACAAGAGTTGGGGGACCTACTTCAATGTTACATTCACATTGTCTGGGAATGGAGGGTAGTTGTAGAGTAGCTGAAGGCCAGTTGAACTGTTCTCTGAAATGTTCTGCCCATCGTTCTAAACGTCTGGACTGGGAGCAGATGAGAGTATCGTCTTTTTCCGATATAATCTCACTTACACTTGACTTATTAATTCCAGTTTCTTTTATTAGTCTGTAAAGCTGTCTTGTGTTCCCTATAGTCGCCGCCTTTTCCATCTCTTTTGCTTTCGTTGCCCACCACTGCTCACGGTCGTTTCTTAGACTTTTTCTTAACCTAGATCTGATTTGTTGTCGCTCCTCATCATGTTCGGAACCTGATGGGACGAGTTTGCGAGAATCCATCAGTGTGATAGACCTTGAAGAAATCCACTGGTTCTTTGTAACTCTGTGGTTTAAGTCACTAATATATGTCACTGCTGTTTCCACAGCTGTTTGTATAGCTTTCCAAGCAACATCTGGGTCAGCCTCGTCTTCAGAACTACCTAATTATGACCTCAGTTGTTCTTGGAACCTACTTTTGGTTTTCTCGTTACTCAACTCAGTTCTAATGGGTCTTTTTACTGTGGCTTTTTTGCGTCCAGTGAGGCGCAAGCAGATACGTGCCCGTATTAGGGCGTGGTCGGAGTCCAAGCAGGTACTCCAGAATGAGCGACAATCTTCTACCGACCCTCTCCAACGATGACTGATGGCAATATAGTCTATTTGAGTCCATCGTTGGTTTGGTATAGGGGGTCGCCATGTTAGACGATGTCTCTCCTTATGCTTAAAATTTGTGTTTGCTAAAAATAAGCGATTGTCTGAGCACAGTTGCAGCTGACGGTCACCATTATCTGTTCGCTGTGCCGGAATGCTAAAATATCCACCTAAATGCTTTTCTGTTTGGTTTAAGCTACCTATCTGAGCATTAAAGTCACCCCCTATGAGTACTATGTCTGAGCGTTTAGCTTTCTGAAGAAGTTCGGACAGCTTTCTGTAAAATTCATCCTTCACATCATCTGAGCTGCAGTCAGTGGGAGCGTAGGCAGAAACGACGTGTATCCCTATCCTTCCGAGTTCTTACTGAGCCGTTTAACCGAACAGCACATAGACGACTGTTGACGGGGATCCACTCTAGCAGTGCTTGTTCCGCCCTCATGCTTAGTGCTATGTCTACACCTGCCAGTCCACGGGTCACCAGATACACGGAGGGTGTATCTCGTTGGCTCTCCGTCTTGCCGAGGTGAGGTCAAGTGAATGACCACACTGGAATCCTGTATGCGTGTTTCGGAGACACAGCATACATCAATGGAAAGAGACTCTAGGGTTTTAGCCAAGGAAGCCTGCTGACCGATTTGACATAGGGTGCGTACGTTTAAGGCTCCAATGTGTAGTTTGGAGCGAGGTTTCAGTAGACCTGGGACAGAGTTTTGAGCACTAGAATCGTTGGCTATGGTGACACTTGAGGAGGAAGCCGAAAGAGGAAGTTTAGAGTTGAAAGTCGATGTAGGAGGAATGATAGGAATTGAAGAGGAAGGTTGATTATGAATACAGTGATCTTGGGTGCTGTTAGAGGTATGAGGTCGGTTATCACTTCCTGGTTGCCCACACCGAGGAAGGGTTCTTCTGGAGGTACCTGAGAAGGAAATTGGAGTAGAGGCGGTCTCAGTGACCTGAGAGCGTGACCGCAGTGCCCAAGGGACAACTGCTTGAGGTCGGTCGCGCACGGCCTTTTCGTGGGAGGTTTTTGACGTGTTAGCTCCGTTCTTCAAAGGGCCTTACCGCCGGAGACGGAAATCCGTGAGGTAAGGTGAGGTGCGACATTTTTAGGGTCGACCTTTTCTAACCTCACCCCTCCTTGTGGGAAGGCAGCATCGCTCTCATGCTGGTTGTCTGAAGGAAACACCTTACTGCTGTCACACCTCTGTACAGTCAGCAGTACGACTTCGCCTTCGGACCTTGCGTTTGTTGCCTTTAGTCAGTTGCTTCATCACGATAGGCAAGCCCGACCACCACCACGTCAAGGTAGCAACAACGATCGGGATACCCCTTTGTATCATGTAATCTATTCAATATACTTAATTGAATCGATTAAACATGTATTTTTATAACCAAATTACCAATATAATCTGTATTATAATACAACAGACTTACCTGAACTTTCCATTCCTTGTTACATAATAATGAAAGAATAATAAAATAGCATGGTAGATATTTTTTTGACCCTATAAATAAAATAAGATTATGAATTAAATTTAAAAAAAAAGAAGTTAAATTACTGATATAAAATTGTAGATTCTTCCATTTAATACTAATTTAAATTGAGGTGGTTGTACAGCAACTTGATAAAATTGACAATTATGTTTACTTTTCAAATCTATAAGTAGATGAAAAGAGAAAGAGAGAGAGAGGAAAGAAACACACAAACATTAAGGTAAACAAATAGGTTATGAAAGAATCATTTTATACTTAGATCAGTAGTCAGTCAGTCAGCTACAACGTAGGACCAGGCACATATATGCATCGGTCTAAGTTGTCATACCTCATTAACACAACAAGATGAGGTAGATCAGTAAGATCTGTAACAATTACACTTAAACTTTACAATCCCTCCCACGCAAACGCCCCGGTACGGTCGAGAAGGGAGAGAGTAAGCTCTCTTTCTTGAAATGCTCTCACATCGCCACGTACGTACAACCACTGATAGCGAAGTCCTGTTTAGTGCCTTCTTGCGGCATTACTGTTGTTTACTAAACTGACAGGACGAGAAGTGAATATCCGGCTCTTTAACTGGGTTAGTGGATATGGAGGATCCACCTACAGGAGTTGGAAACCGTCATTAAAAACCAAGTAGTGCACATGGGCTCCAGGATCCTGATGGAACAAATGGACCTATCGTTGCTCTACTACTACCTTATGGATTAGACGTGTAGGTCAAATGTTTGGGGAGTGGACCCCTGTGAAGCGGGCAGTATCCAAGCCCTGACACAAATCGAATGATTTATGTGGTGCAAATCTATTTGACGCCTCCTTGTACTAACGTTTATGTGTTTAAACAAATACAATCCCTTACATATGTAGTTGTCACCTGAGAATGAAATGACTGTCATACGTTACTTTCGGAAAAGTTAGCTTTGAACTACAATTTAGTTGTGTGAGGGTTAATTTATTTATTTAACCGCTAATCCACAGTCCTAACTTACGGTATATAGTAAATACCACGGTATAAGTTTGTTGACAGTTGCACCTGCAATGTCGATGACTTTTAATAAACTTCTCAAGTTGAGGGTGTCAAACAATTCCCACTGTTTGGATATCATTGTCACTGAGGAATCGCTCACATCCATTGATGATACTGAATACGTAATATTAAAACCTAGCAACGTATTTTTAATGCATGAAGGAGTTGAAAAATGTTATAAATCCTGTGATTCCGAAAACAGATCTCAGTGTCTTGTTAATGGTTGTCGTATGGTAGATTGTTTGTTGGCATTAAGATTGAATAGAAAATTCAGGTAGTCAGTATCTAACAAGAATTACTTACTTAACCCTGTTAACCCTCGTGGAGGAGCATAGGTCACCCACTAGCATTCGCCATCCAACTCTGTTCTGAGCAACCCTTTCCAGTTGCTAGTCATCCTTTTGATATCTGTTTCCATTTCCCAATGTAGTGTGTTCTTCGGCCTTCCTCTTTTTCACTTTTTCTTTCAGGATCCCAAGCTATGGCTTGCCTCGTGATGCAATTTAGCGATTTCCGTTATGTAACTCCTATTCATTTTCAAAGTCTTTTTCTAATTTCCTCTTCAGCTGGAAGCTGGTTTATTCTCTTCCACAGAAGGCTGTTGCTGATGATATCCGGCTAACGGATATTGAGTATCTTGCGTAGACAACTATCAATAAATACTTGTACCTCCTTGATGATGGTTGTAGTAGTTTTCCACGTTTCAGCTACGCACAGTAGAACTAATTGTGTTGACGTTTATAATGAAGATTCAAACTTTGATATTGGTTGACAGTTGTTTTGAGTTCCATATATTCTTCAATTGTAAAAATGCGGCCCTTGTTTTGCCAATCCTCACCTTTACTTCTGCTTCCGATCCTCCTTCCTTACAGACGTTAACTGTATCGAACTCATCTCCATGAGTTTATGAAGATCTTCTTAATAATGTCTTAAAGATCATGCAATTCTACTGTTATGTCTACAAACAGCATGTGCTAAATGCCTTTCTATGTGACCTACTGATACTTATCTCTACTACTACCACTACTATTATTAACAGTATTAATTACAGTTTAGGCACTGAAACAGAATATAAAAGAATTCAACCGTTAAAATGCATCCACATGAGTCAACTAACCAGGCTTATCTGGAATTCGAACAACATTCAATTGACTGAACACACGACCAGATAAACATTTGGGATGCGGTGGCATACGTGTATCCATATAAGTAGCAAACAAATGTAACAGAATCTGGAGAAAAAACATAAATGTGTGTGTGGGGGGTAATAAAAGTAATATAATACAAAAGAAACGAACGAATAGTAAGAATAGAACGTATTGTCAGTCAACAACAACGTACATACATCAGTTCAAGTTGCCATACCACATTAACACAGAGGTACAATTGTCGATTCAAATCCCATAGTGGTAGAGGTAGTAAAACTATTCACAATTGAATGATCACTGGGTGGTGATTAATGTCATGTGTGTCAGAGCCTTCTTTCTGCACATCGAATCCTATCGACCAAGTTGCAATGTTACCATTAGTATAGATGATTCGACATTGCGTGCACTATGTTGAGATAAGATGGTGGTTGGAAGTAGTCAACAGGAAACCCTAGGCCTGAGTTTTGTGCTATTTGGCACTCGTCAGCAACGTGTACCTGTAATCTTGAGGGAAGTGCGTATCGAGATGAAGGAGAAGATTTAGAATTTAGGATGAAGATGTTGTGGTCCTTGAAATGAACCTCATAGTTGTGAAGCTTTCATTGTTCATGTGAACAACAAAAATTAATCAAAACAGAACAATCCGTTAGCTGATTGTGAAGAATTCTTAATGGCTTACTTTTCTTTGAATGATTTTATTCAGAAGAACAACAAAAGCTTAAGAACTATGCCATCTAGCTTAGAGACTGCAACATTAACAATGAAATAATGATGAAATTCAAGATCTGTGCTATCACCATCAACTAACCTAAAGTCTTCTATAATAGTTTAAAGATCCCCATACAATATATTCAAAAACGAAGAATGTTTAAGCGAACAATTGTTTTCAATAACTTCATCATCAGGCTTTACGGTTCTACAGTCCATAATTATAATATTTTACAAAGGCTAAAAATAAGGTATGTATTAATGAATTTGACAATGTTGGACTCTTTCAATAGCATCCACTCAGCCATTAAATTCACCAGCAAGGAGGAGGAGAAAGACAATAGTATAGCTTTTCTGAATGTCCTACTTTCCAAAAGGATCGACAGTTCCATAAAGCGAAATATATTTAGAAAGAGTACATGAACGGGTCAGTATACCTCATTTCCAAAGCTTTACATCTCTCCAATATAAGATAAATTTGATTAAATGTCTCAACCACAGAATCAAGTTATTATATTCTGAAGACAGCGTGGATGGATAGATTATACTAAAGAACACATTACGAAATAATGGCTATCCAGATAATTTCGTTAAAAAATAGAAGAAATTGTGACACAAACAGTAAAAAAAACACTATATCTGAGACTAGACTTTAAAGGGGACATAGCGGGTGATATTCTAACACGTCGACTCAAAAAATCTATCGAAAGGACGTTTCACGCCACCAAGCTACACAATATTTTCTCAACTAAAGCACTACTCACACAACTAATCAAGGATAGGCTACCGAAGATGGGCTCCTCCATGTGTGTATATCAATTCAACTGCTCCTGTGGAGCTAGTTACACAGGCCGTACTCAGAGGGCTTTATCCTTGCGTGTTCGTGAACATGTACCGGCATGGTTGGGAAAATGAGTTACTAAATCGATTTACAGCACTATTCTTTCACACTTGGTAGATAGTGAACATCAAATCAAAATAGAGGAAGCTTTCTCTGTTTTATATCAAGTTCCAAAATATCTATCTCAAGGAGCTAGATTACGATTTCTCTACATAGCCGAAGCTATCTGGATCAACTCCAGAAAACCAAACTTATGCATCCACGATCCCGCACCCCGCGAGATCCGAACCCAGGACCTATCAGTCTAGTGCCAGGCGCTTAACCAACTAGACCACTGAGCCGGCATCCAATAGTGTCAACGTCTAACTTCAACCAATCCACAAAGTTGCGCCACCGTACACCATTGTCTTCAGTGAGTTGACATCTCACAACAGACCTGGTTGAACTCCACTGGTAACGGCTTCTCACTAGAACTCCAGCATTTTATTCACACAATTTTTTTGCATTTTCAACTTTGCTATAATACTATTCTACTTATTGTGACCGGACACTTTACTCTAAATCATTCTGACCTTTATTGAATGACCTTTCTAATTTGCAAATAATATAATTTTGAAGTACATATATGTGTATATCGTAACAGATGCAAACGTTCACCATCTTCTATAATAGATCAAAATCATTGCACAAAGCAGATTATCTACATCAAAACTACTGATACAATGATTTCATGTTACATCTAATTTTCTCCCTTCTATGCTACCAAATATACTTGAATTTCACAATAAGTAATCCCTAGATATCCACTTAGTGCACCCAACTAAGTCACAAGACAAGCCCTCACATGGAATCCTCAAGGCCAAAGGAAAAGAGGAAGACCAAAGAACACATTACGCCGAGAAATGGAGATAGACATGAGAAAAATGAACAAGAATTGGATGGGACTAGAAAAGAACGCCCAGGACAGAGTGGGTTGGAGAATGCTGGTCGGCGGCCTATGCTCCATTAGGAGTAACAGGCGTAAGTAATCCACTTAGTCCAACCAAACCAACACACTTAATCTTCATTAAATATCTTGACTATAGTTTAAGGATTTAATCACTTTATAGTTCTACAATTATTAATACAGAAAAGTAATAATTTATGGTAACTCACGGGCAATTGAGTTTGTTCACATTTAATTCGGTTAAGTCATTTTGTTAACTTATTAACGAACTGAGTTACCCGTACAACAACAACAACTTATCTATATCATTGTATCTTTATTATTGTTGCGAATGTATGAACATGTATACTTGAACCATTGCTTACTGCCTACGCATTTATTCACGCTGCTAGGCTTACTACTACTAACCGCTTAATTGATTCGATGATTCATTCATTTCACTATGTATATATATGTCCATGTTATTCATGTTCATTGCTCTCGCTCTCTCTAGCTTAATTGTACTCGTTTGCTCGTTCTCATATTCGCTGACTCACTTGCTTGCCTGCTTGTCTTTCGGCACAACTCTTTCATGCTTGTTTAACGCATCTGTAATTTTGGATATCTGTGTGTGTGTGGTCCTATAATCAACACTTCGTATTCACCTTCTGATTAATATACCGTTGAGGTGTTATCTAGTGACGGTTATCAAGACGGACTGTATACAAAGTTTAAGGATTATATGGAATACCGACCATCACAAATTAATCCAATGGAAAAATATCATAACTTACAATACTATCAGATGGTAAATGTTCTTTCCATGGCCATTCAGTACTTTTTGATCCAGAATCCCAACGAAACTCTTGAAGACAGCTTTCTCTAGCTAATTCTAATGTAAATGGTGATGATGATGATGATGATGATGATGATGATGATAATGATCATAACGGGAAAAACAAAAACAAAATTAAACATAAATCAACAAAGCGAAATTGCGGGGGGGGGTGAGGGTAAAAATAGGTGAAGAGGATATAATAATACACAACATTAGTTACAATTTGATAATATCATTCGTAGTCTATTGTATAGTAGTGTGGTCTTGAGTGCTGTTAGAGGTATGAGAGCGGTTATCACTTCCCGGTCGCCCATACCGTGGAAGGGTTCATCTGGAGGTACTTAAAAAGAAAATTGGATTAGAGGTGGTCCTAGTGACCTGAGAGTGTGACCGCAGTGCCCAGGAGACAACTACTTGAGGTCGGTCATATACGACCTTTTTATGGGTAATTTTTGTGTTAGCTCCGTACTTGTTGAGACATTACCGCCAGAGACGGCTATCCATGGGATAAGGCGGGGTGTGCATTTCTAGGGTAGACCTTTTCTAACTTCACCCCTCCTTGTGGGAAGGCAGCATCGCTCTCATGCTGGTTGTCTGAAGGAAACACCTTAATACTGTCACATCTCTGTACATTCAGCAGTACGACTTCGCCTTCGGACCTTGGGTTTGTTACTTTTAGTCTAACCACTCTTCAACCAACCTGTCTGACATGGTAGGACCTTGAGGAACGGTTGTTCCAGTCAGTATAGCTCGGTTGCTTCATCAAGATAGGCAAGCCCGACCACCACCTCAAGGTAGCAACGACGGTCGGGTCAGTGAACGAGAATATCAGTAAGGACAGCCAAATGAATTTGAACACACAAATACAGAATCTCTTAGTAAAATCTGTGAACCATACAGTAAATACTTCAATCGTCTCAAACTTCACTGTTCCTTCATTTTCACAGCAATTATTCAATGTTCTTGTTTTCTTCTCTTCGATCTTCATAACCTTCTGCTGCCAAGTATTTCACTTCCGACTGATGATACATAATACTACTTAAATCTGTCGTCATCGGTAGCACATATCACCGTGGTACTAGCTGATACAAAAGTTTTTTCACAAAATAAACTAATCACTAGTCAATAGATACCTTGGAAATTTCAATACTGAATTCTTTTATTTGAGCAACCAGTTGGAATGACTAACCCTCAAAACGATAAAATTAAAGTCAAGGCAAGTGTTTTTAATGTGATTAACTAGTAATGAATATCCTACAGGCAGATAAGGCGATGTTGTATATTAATCTTGAATCTATATTTTATATTTATAAGGTGTAAATAGCTATTTTTAATAGTTTTGTACTATCATTCAAGGTGTTTAAAGGGTGAGGAATCTTGCTTTCAAGATTTTTGCAGAAATACAAGTAGTAACCAAGTGTACAACTCTATCATCTTCCCATTTATACACTAAGGTAATACCCCCCCACCCCTTCCAACAATATACAATACTATCTGTGTTTGTAAACCCGTTGAATATATTATATTTGGATGAAATCTAGTTCAGTTAAATAAAATAACGTTTCGTTCATTGTTTATTCATGACATTAGAGTATAATCCAAACACTCAGTCAGTCAACTACAACGTAGGACCAGGCACATATATACATCGATCCAATGTGCTATACCTCATTAGCGCAACAAGGTAGACACCAAATTCATAGAAGTAGGTACTTCAATCGTAGTAGTATATAAAAGAAGGATTGTTTATAAGGATATAGTACAGGAAGAAAGATATAAAGCGATTTTAATCTCACGGTTTGAGGGAAGACAAAAAGTATATACACCTACACTATTGTGATCGATTCTAAGCCATACCTCTAACAGCACTAAAGATCACTGCGGTCATAATTTAAATAGTAGTGTGACATTATTAACGGAAAATAAAACATTCCCTGAAAATTCAACCATAATCAAATAAAAAGGAACATTTAATAGTCATTATGTTGAAATTTCTGAACTGTGTACGTAAAGATGAATCTGAAGATCTGAAACTTGGATCCTAAAACTACTTAATAAATATTTAAGTATTCAGCATTGTATCATTATAAGTCCTTTATCTTTACAACTGTTGGGGAGTCAGTTAGATTTATCTGAATAGAATGCCCTGGTACGGCCGAGAGTGGGGAGAGTCAGCTCTCCCTCTCTCTCTCCCGAAATGCTCTCACATGGCCACGCGTATACAGCCACTTAAAGAGAAGTCCTACTCACTGCCTTCTAGCGGCATTAATGTTACTTACGAAACTGAAGGAACGAAAAGCGAATGTCCGGCTCTTTAACCAGGTTGGTGGAGACGGAGGATCAACCTATGGCAGTTGGAAAACCCTGATTTCAAACAATTGGTGCACATAGGCTCCAGAACCCTGAAGGGACAAATGGTGTAGGAACCTATTGTTAATCACCGATTACCATAGGAATGCATCTCTCGACGTTGTTCCACTGCCTTGTGGATCATACCTTTAGGTCAAAGGCTACGAGCATAGCCTCCTACGAAGACTACCTGCTTCGTTTTGGACACCCCGGCAGTATCACAGCCCACATGAAATCAAGTGACTTGTATGACGCAAATGTATTCGGTTCCCCTTTGTACCAATATTGATGTGTTCAAATGACCAAATAGTAATAATTTGAATAGAAGTTTATGATTTTGTCGTGTTTCTGTGTTGTTGCTTCCAGTTTCCACATAACATATTACAATTGATCAGTAATAATTTACATAAAGACAACCAAAAAGTCACTCAAAATCCAGATTTAATATAAAACATATTATAAAGCCAATTTAAACTGTATAGACATGTAAAACTTACCATGTAATCGATTAACCAAATATCCTTGATCTTTCATAAAATCTAAAAATGCCAACAATACTGGAAGTGTTGGTAAGTATTGATATTTAAGAGAGGAGAATTGTTGAAGGGTAGCTAAACTAGTGGCTAAAATTGAAAAGAAAGAAAAAAGATGAGAGTGAGAGATAGGAGAGACAAGATGTAAATAAGATGGATACGCTGAAACTGTTAAGATATTATTATTTGAAAGAAAAATGAAGTGTTTCCTAGAACTTTTGTGCAACAAGTTCGAACCTCATTCATCTATTGACAATGTTATATCTGGTTTTAATCTTTGGAAATCATTTAGTTACTTTATATTCTGTTAGTTCCTTGTAAAAATTGAATTGATTCTTCAGTGTCATAATTCCTTACACAGATCAATATATACTTTTTCATCGTCAATTACGAAGATTTATCCTTAACAAATCATTGATATGTTGATTTGACAATTTGATCTGAACAGAAGACGATTGTGAATGTATTCAAACTTACAATATTCCTGCGGAATTCATTCATCTTTTTTGTCTACTAATAAACCATGAGAATAAGGTATGTCTTTTGGATTATTCGAATGCCCTGATACGGCCGAGAGTGAGGAGAGACAGCTCTCCTTCTCGAAATGCTCTCACTGCCTTCTCGCAGCATTACTGTTGTTTATAAAATTGACAGGACGAAAAGAGAATGTCCGACGCATTAACCAGGTTGGTGGATATGGAGGATCCATTCTGGGGAAGTTGGAAAACTGTGATTCCAAACCAATGGTACACATAGGCTACAGGATCCTGAGGGAACGAATGGCGTATGAACCTATTGTTGGTCACTTGCTACCATGGGACTACATCTCCTGAGGTTGCTCCACTACCTTGTGGATCAGACCTTTAGGTAGAAGGCTCCGGGTATGCCCCCCTAAGAAAACTACCTGCTTCGGTTTGGGCATCCAGGCAGTATCCCATCCCTCACACAAATCCAATGATTTATGTTGCACATATCTACTTGGTCCCTCCTTCTGCCAATGTTTGTGTTTAAATAAATAATAGTTTTTCACGTGCGCACTAATTTCTGAAGGTTCTCCAACAAGTATTAAGCAGAACTAATCTCAACAAATTTATGGAGTATTGATGTGAACTAAAGGATAATAATAATAATATACAACGGAAGAGGTAGCGGACACTAATCTTGCAATCATTCATGAAAGCATACATTGAAGATAAAAAAAACTGGATATAAAAACTTGCATCCAATAAGAGTTTTATCGCCACCAGCTTCTTCAAGATTTCGATTAATTGTGTCAATTTCATTGACAATACGTCGAATGATTGTACCATGAAGCCACTGAAATAATAAAAAAGGGATTTTATTAAATGAAGGAATGTTCTGTCTAATGAATTTTAAAAATGGGAAAATACATCACCTAAGTTATGCCTCTCATTTATTTAAATACATATTAGTACAAGGAGGCACCAAATACAGATGAGCCACACAAGTCACTTGATTTGTGTGAGGGCTGGAATGCTGCCTGGATGCCCAAACTGAAGTAGGTGGTTTTCTTAGGGGGCCACTTTCCGAAATTTTGACCTAAAGGTCTGATCCATACGGTAGCGGAACAACATTAGAAGATGCAGTCCCATGGTAGCCAGTGACCAACAATAGGTCCATACGACTTTTCTTCCCTCAGAATCCTGTAACCCATGTGAACTATTAATTTAAAATCAGAGTTTTCCAACTTCCGTAGATGGATCCTCTGTCTCCACCAACCCGGTCACAGTACCAGACATTCGCTTTTCATCCTCTCAATTTCGTAAACAACACATTCACCACGAGAAAGCAGTGAGTAGGACTTCTGTGACAGTGGCTGCATGTGCGTGGCCATGTGAGTGCATTTCGAGAGGGGAAGCTGACTTTCCCCATCCTCGGCCGCATATCCCTCTATATGCACACACAAACGTATGACCGTTATATTGATTGAATATTCAGCTATGTTGAGAGGTTATTATTCACAAAATAAATCTTTAGAATCTGAGTGATTACATACCTTTCGAAGATTTAGAGTCCAACGATCTAAATCGCTTTTACTAACTTGATTTTCAATCCAATACTGTAAACACAGAAAAAAGTGGTAGAGTAGTGAAATATTCTACATAACAAATCCAGAGTTCACTTTTTAAAAGATATTTCACGGAATAGTTTCAGCAAATAACATTTAAAAGGAATGACAGGAGTATAGTATATTACAATAATAATGTGATAGTGATTTAGTGTTTACAACACTAGGCTACGAGCTCGTCTCGGCACAGATTAATTTTAAGCAACTTTTTCGTGGTAAATATAAAGATTATAGGTCTTAAAGATTGTTGTTAATGACATAACACAAATAATACAACTCATTTAATAAGCATAGGTTTTATATAATTGGCACGGAGTTGTACATTATCGATAGGGAGACTGGTGATGCTCTCTGTTCCATTAAGTTGAAGGCTGAGTGAAGTTCGAACCTGCGAAATGTTCGATGAAAGTCGATTATTCCGGATGTTTAGCTCCACCTTCCTTACAATAATCTCAACATATTACTTCCTCACGTATTCATTCAATAGAAATGCTTACCTCATCTTCAGATCGTTCGTTAATTTCACGATCACTTTTCCCAGAATCGGGAGTTATACTGTTTGGAATAAAGGCTGGTCCAGATAAAGATTTTTGTGAATCATTCAAGTATTGCTGGCAAGGATTAGTAGGCTGAATATAAGCAGCCTGATATTGGTATCGTGGGGATGTCCCTGATGTTAAAAATGGAGAAGACCAAGTGACAGAACGACGCATGTTCCCTGAACTCTGTCCAGGAGCCTCTCCGCTACTAAAAGGTGGTAGCACCGAGCCAAGTCCAGAATTCACAATAGGACTGAGGGCCAAATCCAAAAGAGAAACTGATAACCAAAGGAAATTTTAAAAAAGTACTTTGAAGTTATTAAATTGGATAAAATAGGCGGTTAAACTACACAACAGCGTGTTGATATTATCACATTGAGAGATAGCTTTGATGTAGGTATTTGTTTATTATACGATTGCATGAGTCTTCAAATGAAATTATGAAAAAAGTAATCGACGAAAGCCAATTGAGCATCTTGCGATGGCGAAAAAAGGGACAATAATAATGGAAGCGAAAACTGGAGATATAAAAAGGAGTAAAGACTTTCCTTTTTTAGCTTGTATATTAAATATTCGATGCGAGCTAATAGGATAAACTAATATAACGGATAGTGAATGCAAATAAAGGAGGATAGTCACCTTGGACCCAATCTTTCTGGTCACTACTTTACCGCTGTTACGATGCACGTGATATTCACTAATTCTTATTCCCTAAACCCATTGAGGTCACGTAGAGATGTAGTTATGTTATAAACAATTAATCTCTCAAATATATTACTTTTCAAAATACCCAGTGATTCACAATAATTGTTGAAATAATAACTTTCTTTAGGATCCATGGAAGTATATATAATGAGTTTCACAGAAAGCTGCCACTGGGAGTTTGGTACTAAAGACCAGTAACTTTACATTATCACTGTGGTAAATCGAAATACAAAAGTCCCAGTGTGATAAGCGTTAAACTGTAAATGAGCAAAATGACGGTGCTTCTAATACTAAAAAATTCTGGTCTTTCATTGTATTGTAACACTAGGATATGTTAATGACAACTTAGTTAGATACACAAAGAGGTGCACGCTACTCCAGTGTGTAAATACAATTTTCATCCTCAAAACAAACAGCTAAATGGTAGATAATAGATGCACTAAAAATAAACACTTACGATTTTCTTGAACACCCGGACTTCCCGAAACCCGGAAAGATCCACAGTGTGGCTGTGATAAATTACTATGGGACTGATTATGCTGTGGTGACACCGTACCAATTGTTGATTGCTTCCAAATATGTTGATTTTCATTTACAGACTGTGGAATACCAACATCTACATAGGGAACTGCAGGTCTAACAGGAGATCCACTGGTGATTTCATATGATGAGTTTCCAAAGGTAGCTCCACAAGAACTGATGTCTAAGCTGTTCTTCAATAAACTGGAGCAGAACATAGAAGGACCAACGAGTGACTTGTTTAAAGGTGATGAGTGAAATCTTAAAGCTGACTGACCTTCGAGGATTAGTAGTAAAAGGAGACTTACTGTGAGAATTACCTGCGTCCATTCTTCGGATTAACGCTGAACTTATTATCACGAATACATGGTATGAAATGCAGGCAATGAGGAGAGTAAAAGATGATAATACTGCAGATTAATAAAATATGAACAAAAACATACTTAACTTTTCATAAGAAGACATCCATCCCAAAGGGAACGAGAACAGGCGGAAAATTGGTTGAACATAACTAGTGAGAGTTATATACCAACACAGTCAACTTACAATTCTATAAGTACACACATTCCCACCAGCACATCAACTGAAAGCCATTTGTAAGCGTTGTTTAGTGACCTGACCTGAGCCTCAGCTTTGCATCGACGCTCGACCTTTGGACTAGCCCACACTTGAGTAGACATACGTATTTTAGCGATATCCTGGAAAAAGATTTGAGACCCAGAAAATTCCCAGCCTTCAGAGGACAGCCTAGAATATTTAGACAATACAAAAAATATGTAATAAATATTATGAAAGACAATAAGTAGGGGAGAGACGAAGAAAAATAACACTACAGATAGTGAGTTTAAGACGACTCATCAATATCTCAATTGATTTTTCACCATAGCATTTTTCTGTTTGGTGTGTCAAAGGTATACACGTTGCACGTGTGAATTTAGAAAGAAATTACGAGACTAAGGATATTTCGGTTTCATTTTGATTTTTACGTATTGTACAGATTTTAACAGAGAAACCAGATTAAAGAGACGTTACGAATAGTGCTGTCCAGTAGAAGTTTGGGCTACTTTGAAACACACCCTCAAGCAACCGCAGGTATTTTGTTTCACAAACCAAAGCATCCTAATAGGCATTTTAATTGTGAACATCAAGATGCCAATGAACTACTTGGCTAGACATATATATGCTTACATTGAAACATTTCAAATAACATACTAACAAAAATGGATGAGCTTAAATATCTGTTTTACTTATCACTAGTGACAGAACAATTGCCTTGAGTTACTTTAACACTGAGCTGAAACTCAAACTGACCCCAGTTCGGGTCAAGATCCACACCTTTTTTCAATCTGCCCAGACTACCGAATTGCCTTGAGAGACAACGAATAAGTACATTTGACCCTCAACCGAATAAACCGAAAAGATTTGGCGGTGTAAATTTAACTTTATTCTTGCTGCCATTGTATTAGAGATATAGAAGTAAGCTCGAATCCACGGACCACTTCCATAAGCAACTTTTACAAAAAAATAAGGATCCTGCAATAAAGACTGTTCAAAGACAAGTCACTAAATTTGGGTTCGATACTTTAAGAATCGGTGTTATATCAATAAGGCTATTGATAACAGAAAGCGAACAGACATTTAAGGAGTTAGATATACTCTGCTTTTCGAAAAACTGGCTTGATCCTCTAAGGTGGACAGGTAGGTATTTGCGGACGAAATTGAGCATATAATTCCATTCAGCTTAGCATGTAGGAGCAAACAAATGCCAAAAATAGATAGTTCTATAAGTCCTTGACAGTGAGGTTGATCTTATTAATTTACTGAACACCTAGTTGAAGGCGCTCGGCCACGCATCCGCGCCAGATCACCAGTGTGTATGCCTTGCTAGGCATGCCATTCAACTTCTAGCCGGCTCAGACAAAATGCTTCTCCATATGTCGATAGCCTTCCAAATACATCTTTGAATCAATTCATTTCTGATTTGGTTGGTTTGACATGCTTCGATTATAAAGGTGTTACGTGTAGAGGTGTTTTCATACTCCGAAAACTCGTGCAATCTTTAGTGGTGGGACCGATGTTATCTGGTACACCAAGCAGTAAGCTTTGAGTTTGTTTCTTGATGGCATGTTACATACACTTTTTATATTTGTGATATTTTTTCCATATTTTCGAATTTTCTCCTCACCCATTAGTTTATTTTATCTTCGTCATGACGGATATAGACATCTACTTACTTACTTACGCCTGTTACTCCCAATGGAGCATAGGCCGCAGACTAGCATTCTCCAACCCACTCTGTCCTGGGCGTTCTTTTCTAGTTCCATCCAATTCTTGTTCATTTTTCTCATGTCTATCTCCATTTCTCGGCGTAATGTGTTCTTTGGTCTTCCTCTTTTCCTTTGGCCTTGAGGATTCCATGTGAGGGCTTGTCTTGTGACGCAGTTGGGTGCTTTCCTCAATGTATGTCCTATCCACTTCAGACGCTTCTTCCTGATTTCTTCCTCCTCTGGGATCTGGTTTGTTCTCTCCCACAGTACGTTGTTGCTAATAGTGTCCGGCCAATGGATCTGAATTATTTTGCGTAGACAATTGTTAATAAACACCTGTATTTTCTGGATGATGGCTTTCGTAGTTCTCCAGGTTTCTGCCCCATACAGTAGAACTGTCTTGACATTTGAATTGAAAATCCTGACCTTGGTATTGATTGACAGTTACTTTGAGTTCCAGATGTTCCTCAGTTGTGAATATGCTGCCCTTGCTTTGCCGATATGCGCCTTCACATCTGCATCAGATCCACCCTGTTCATCAATGATGCTGCCCAAATACGTAAACGTTTCTACATCTTCCAAATCTTCTCCGTCAATTGTGATTGAATTGGTGCTTTTCCCTTTGTGACTATTGAGACCTACTGCTGCTGAGGCTGCTGCCACACTGTTCGTCTTCTCCTGCATCTGTTGTTGCGTTTGCGATAGAAGTCTAGATCATCCAACTTCATCTTAGATGTCCATTGTAGCCCGCGTTTCCCTTCAGATGCTGACATCTTCATGATCCAGTCGATCACCAGGAGAAAGAGAAAGGGTCTTCACTTCGAACGATTTTGTCAACTGCTCTCCATGCACGATTTTGCAGTGTAATCCTTCATAGGAATTCCGTATGATATTGACTATCTTCTGAGGCACGCCGTAGTGTCGAAGAAGCTTCCACAGTGTTGTTCTGTCCACGCTATCAAATGCCTTTTCGTAGTCAATGAAGTTGACGTAGAGTGATGAATTCCATTCAGTTGATTGTTCCACAATGATCCGTAGAGTTGCGATTTGGTCTGTACACAATCTATCCTTACGGAATCCTGCCTGTTGGTCACGAAGCTGGGCGTCTACGCAGTCCTTCATCCTGTTTAACAATACCCTATTGAAGACTTTTCCCGGTATTGAGAGAAGAGTGACGCCCCTGTAGTTATCACAGTTGCTGAGATCGCCTTTCTTCGGTATTTTGATCAGAAGTCCTTCTTTCCAGTCTGTTGGTACTTGTTCCTCATCCCAAATCTTAGTGAAGAGAATGTGGAGCGCCTTGCAGTTGCCGCTACGTCTGCTTTTAGTGCCTCTGCTGTGATGTTGCCTGGTCATACTGCTTTGCCAATCTTGATTTACCTGATGGCCATGCTGATTTCTTCAATTGTTGGTGGGCCAACATTGATTGGGAGGTCCGTGGGTGCTGCTTCAATGTTGGGTGGGTTCAGTGGAGCTGGTCGATTCAAGAGGTCTTTGAAGTGTTCTACCCACCTGTTTTGTTGCTCTTCAACGTTGGTAATTATCTCTCCTTCCTTGCTTTACACTGATCGTCCGGGTTTGCGGCGATTTCCAGAGAGTATCTTTGTCGTGTTCATACAATTGTCTCATGTTTCCTTCTCTTGCAGCCTTTTCCGCCGTCGTTGCTAAATCTTCCACATATTTAGGTTTGTCGGTTCTGATGCTCCTCTTCGCCTGTTTGTTTACTTCTGTGTATTCAGCTTGTGCCTTGGCCTTTTCTGCTCTTGTTCGGCTGGTATTGATTGCTGCCTTCTTGTTCCTTCTTTCTTGAATCTTATCCAGTGTATCAACAGTGATCCATTCCTTGTGATGGTGCTTCTTGTGACCCAGGTTCTTATGACATGTTGAAGTGATTGCCTCTTTGATCCCCTTCCAGTTGCTCTCCACAGTAATTCCTTCTCCATTGGGCAGATCATGAAAGGCCTGGAACTTGTTGCCGAGGCCTATCTTGAATTCGTTGAGTTTGTTAGTATTGAACTTTTATGATATTGTCCGCCCCGTTCTCCAATGCTTCTTGAGCTTCAATTCCATCTTGGCGACCAGTAAGTGATGATCTGATGCTATATCAGCTCCTTTCTTGGTTCTCACGTCCTCTATAGTCCTCCTGAACGTTTTGTTGATGCAAATATGGTCGATTTGGTTTTGTGTAGAGTGATCCGGTGAAGTCCATGTGGTTTTGTGTATGCGTTTATGTGGGAGTATGGTGCCGCCTATGACCAGCTTATTGAAGGCACATAGGTTTGCAAATCTCTCACCATTTTCGTTCCTTTCTCCCAGTTCGTGTCGTCCTATGATGTCTTCATATCCAGTGTTATCCGTTCCAACCTTGGCGTTGAAATCTCCCATCAGAATGGTCAGGTCCTTTGTTGGGCACTTCTCGACGATTTACTGCAGCCTATTGTAGAATTGATCTTTAGCGTCTTCATTGTAATCGTTGGTAGGCGCGTAGCATTGGATGATATTCATTGAAATGCCCTCTTTATTGATTTTGAAGGAGACTTTGATGATCCTTGGTCCATGAGATTCTCGTCCTATAAGTGCATTTTGTGCTTGTTTGTACAGCATCAATGCCACTCCTTGTGTATGTTGAGCATTTTCTCCTTCATGGCCGGAGTATAACAGGAGCTCTCCTGTAGTTAGTCGTTGTCCAACTTGCGTTCAATGTGTTTCACTGATCCCAAGCACCTCTAGGTTGTATCTTCTCATTTCTGCGGCGATTTGGAAGGCTCTCCCGATTTCCCACATTGTACGAGCATTCCATGTACCTAAATAAATGGTCGCTCTGGTTGTCAGAAGGGGCATCGGCCTTGTAACTTCCGAAGGGATTCGGCTTTCATCACGAGGCGTCGTAGTTCTTCTAAATGAAGACCTTCTGACTCCCAGGGCAGAGTTTAAAAGGTTTGAATAATTTTTTCTGGTTAGCGTTTTTTTAGCGAGTTAGTTTTCTACGGGATGGGGACGCTAACCCCATGCTCAACCCTCCTCCTTTATTCGGGCCTGGGACCGGCAGTAGCCCCCGGAGGGACTCCAGGCGGAGTTATATAGACATCTAAGCTATTTAAAATTAGGACTCTCTCGCCTTCCACATTTCATCTCATACCAGTCTGGCCGGACAGATTCTGCTATGCAGAATGAGCACGGTGTGATTGATCAGCATTCAAAACTCGTCGCAGTAGTGAAGACGCTACCGTGCAATTTTAACAGGTATGTCATAAAGAGTATATTTACTGGTGGTGTTTCAGAGCCTTACGACGTACTGAAGAAGACTGTTCTTGAACATGAGGATTTGACCGACCGACAGAGGTCATGCCATTTTTTCAACAACATCGACTTGCATTATGGCTCAGCAACAGAAATGTTCCTACGTATGCTAGAGGTCATTGGTTAACGGACCTTGATGGGGCTTCTCAGTCAAAGAGAGGCTTCGAAAAACACAAAGTGATCATACGAACCTCCGTTATTTTCTGACTCGTTATGTCATTATTTGTCGTAATCACAGACCCTCCCTAACTCCTCGAAAGAGTCCTTCACGAAAAAAATCTGTCTCTGAATGACGAGAGGTAGACTATCCTGTTCGGTACTGATATCATGACAAGTATGTTAAGTCTCCTAGAAATTGAGGAAAGCCCTACTATTATTATTATACTGTTCTCTAATCTCCGAAGTATCTTACACGAAAAATTCTTCAGGAAACTTTCCGCTGTCTCGCGTTAGCGGCAGCCGTTGCCAGTAAATTTAGCTGGAGTTGTACATCACTGATATGATGAGGAAAGTTCCCGATCTCTTCGACACTAAGGCAGCACTTAGTGCCCTCCCTGCGGGTCCTTACAACCGACTTCACGAACTGGTCTTCAACTTCTAGGTGGCAAATGAGAAATAAATTACCACATTTGGCAAGCGATATATTTATATTAATGTGAGCTTATGCCAAATTATTCGCTGGATTTTTAATGTTGTAGATGTTTGTATGCCAATGATTGGTATAGACATGCTCTAACACCACAATCTACTTATCGACAAGCATAAACAGAGGTTAGTGGACAAAATTACTGAATTATCTGTCTGCGTATCTCCCTTTTCCGGTTGTAGATTATTCTCAGTCACAGAAAGACTAATATTAAAACTATTTTATCGATTTTATCGACTCGACGTCTTCAATACGTTGAACAGACTTTATCATTCAGGTGTTCGAGCAACCATCCGGTTCATAGAAGAACGATTTTGTTGGTCTTATATGAATAAACATATGAAGTAATGAGCATGTTGCTGTGTAAGCTCCCATAAATCTAGGATGATTGGACACGAGAAATGTTCTTTCAGCCATCTCCAAACTGGACGCCTGTTCTGACCATGTTCACATTGATTTGATAGAACCTTTTCCGCCTCAAATGAGTACTTTTGCCTCATATCGTGTTTAGACCGTGTCACTTGATGACCAGAAGCACTGTTCGTCGAGGACATTACCGATGAAACAGTGGCACTTGCCTTCATTGAACGATCGGTAACAAAACTCCGTTGCCCTTCAAATATCACTACAGTCAGTGGACTTCAGTTCAAATATTAATATTTTCGTTGTCTTATTACACTACCAGTCGGCAAACTCCGGATACATATGTCATCTTTAAGCCGAGAACGGCTTCAAACACACAAATGTTCTCCCTATTTGAGTGGCTAGTTTGGCTAGCAATTTTTTAACCCATATATATAGATCAGTCTTAGACGACTGGCCAACACACCATCTGAGACCTTTTCACAATTACACAGTCCTGAATAACGAAGGATTCGCTGATTCATAGAGTATAGGCCGATACACTAGTGCATTGCTTTGAAATGAAGACATGAAGCCCTTAACGTGTTATAAAAAATTGGAAAGGGATATTTATTGTGACCAGTATTCATTAAAAACTCATTAGCCGCTGCGTCACTCATACTTTATGAATTTTCTTTCTCTGAATCACTTTCTATTTTAATTAATAACTGACGTATTCCCTCGATTGCGAGTAAAGGTTTTAGAAATTCAATAACGCTGCCTTGATGTCTAGTGCACAGTGCAACTGCGAGAAAGTAGACACCAATTCGGTTTTATATGTACTAGGTAAACCCAAGCAATATTTTGACAGTCAAGGAGGGTCAGTAACAACTCAAGATGGGTGGTTAAGAGTTGATCGAAGACATCCTGATAATATCAAAAAATTACAGTTAAGCAATTATTTGCTCTTATTTTGAGTAGGCATTGCATTTCCTGTTACCCTATATTGAATGTTGAAAGTTTTGTGTGGTTGAAATAAGGACCTCGCGCCTCAAATGGTCTGTTTCACAACCCGAATAATGACATTCTGCAACTACCAGTCTGTCATCTTCTACACATTATACTAAGAGTAACTACCAGCAGTAAAGTTCTACCAAACTTCTACCTCTATACTCTTCCTACTTCATTTTAATCTTTGACTGACGACATAAAGTCTCTAAATCTGATGCCAGTGATATTTTCTTGGGCGCCAAATGTTGCAATGTACATGAACTTCATTTTGTCAGATTATCCGAGGTCGAAAAACAGGATCTCTGATAAGGCTAAGGTTTTTAGAAGAATCACGTTTGAGAACATGCCTGAGATGATTTAATTGTAATCCATCTATATTTAATATCGAGTTCAACTCACTATCCACATCACACATATCACGGAGATGATCATCAATGCCTCCAATTATATCATTAACGTAGTCATGACTCAATATATTAGTTTACCTGCGTTATCAGAACCAGGGATGCTGAAGTACAGTCTAATTAACCATTGAATGAACTGAAATTCCCTCCGGTTGAACATAGACCTTGACTAAGAAACGCGACTAGGATCGTTAGTCAATTCGATCCGAGATAAAACAACCAATGTGTAGCTCGATAATAGAAATCATAGGCTAAATCTGAATGCGTTAGGGAAGTTCTGACAAACAGGGTGGCTGAATGATATCTCATAATGTTAAATTCTAGTTAACCCTCCACTCTGGTTATTGAGATAAAATAAATGACTAAAGTGTATACAACGCTAAACTGCACAATGTAAAGAAGGAAATAATTGAGTAAATTTTAGCCTAGATTAACAACGATATCACTGGGTCGGCTTTTGTAATGGGAGGTTTCTATGTTTTTTTGGTATCTAAGTTCACCTCAATATTGATGTGTTTTCATAACTCCAAATAACAAAGTAGTTACATATTATGCTAAAACGTTACGTCGTTGATATTTCTATCAACATATACTTACTACTCAGTGAAAAAATTAACAGTTTAGTGATTGTTAAAATATTAGTAAAGTTTTGAGATATTTTTCAGTGAAAAACTGAAATAAGTTATCGAACTGATGGTAGCTAAAAAGTTTTGAAATGACAGCTTTATCCTAGAATTATAGTCTGATAACGTCCAAACCTATAGACACGTATGATATTCAGTGTGGCGAATTCATTTCTCCGCGCTATGATAGGACGTTTAAGCCACTAAGTCATCATCAAACAGTCTACAGTTTCATCTTCAAACAGTTTGCAGATAGTTACTGTTATGATATGAATTCTCATGCTGTTTTTAAATCTTTAATCATTCACGCTCATTTAGTGTAAGTTAGCACATTCACACACATAGGACAGGTGAAAAGTTACTGAGCCTCGAACAAACCGCTTATCAGTTTGATCTTTTTTACTTTAGACAAAAGGTTGCTGACCCGCAGACAGTCTATCAAACATTGCCAAGGTCAAGCATGACTGGTTGGTGTGATGTACATTTATCTAGTCTTACAAATAGATTTTTACTTATAACACGTTTATTTTATGAAGTCGCCAACGTAGGGCATCACATAAAAGTAGTTCATGTCAGGTGTCAACCGCTAGACGTAATTCGGACTTGAGCTAGGAAGTCCCACTCTAGTAATCGAGAACACAAATGGAGACAACCAAATGTTATTGAATATCGAAATACAGAATTTCATGTTGAAATCTGAGAACCATACAATGAAAATTTCATTTGCGAAATGTATATCAATTGTCCCAGACTTTAGTGTTTCTTCCTTTCCACACCAAGCACTCTCTGTTACCGTTCTCTTCTATTAGATCTTCCTAACCTTCTGATGCTAGGGTTTTCACTTTCTATTAGTGTTACATACTACTGATATCGATCTGCATAAATAATCTGCACCACAATACCATTTCCGTCCAACACAAGTAGATCATGGTCATTCACACAGACCACCTACATTATTGGTCTAGCTAATCCTAAAGAGTTACGAGCTAAAATGGAACTAACGTCAAATGGTCCCTGATTTATTAGTTGTTCCAAGTTTACATCAGTTCAAGACATAATATACTTTTCTTATTTCCAGGTTTTCGGAATATACCCTTTCTTTTATTTGTTTACAGTATTATGTAGCTAAGGTGTCGAGACAACTTGTATTATACAATACAATATTAATGGTTTACAATAATAAATTGAATTACAAATAATTGAAATCAGAAAATCCAGTGAGTTGACTAAATTAAGTATGAATATTTGGACTTGATTTTACTACATCTTCAAAAAGTTTCAGAGTATCTATTGCAGTACCCCAACTTAATGCAACACCCATTGAACCATGTCCATAATTATGTATAATTGGTAAAGGTTCACAGGTAATTTCAGGTTGATACCATTCAATCTTATAGTAATTATTTGATATTTAAAAAAGAAAGAAAAAAGAAATTATCTTTAAACAGCTGACTTGTTAAAGAAAATATTGCACTATTTAGTGAAATAGAGTGTTGTGTTTGTAAACATAGTGAAGTGTACCGGTTCACTGTATCATTTTTAGGGTGTTTTTAGACCCGTGTGGTCCAATACTTGTTGGGTAGAAACAAGTATCAACCTCAGACAATGGATGAATGGTTGAGCGGCCATTCATAGATCGGTGGAAGTTCTACACTAACAGCATTGGATTCCGGCTCAGTGGAGTAAAGGTTAAGACTGAGGGCTCTGGGTTCGAATCCTGCCAGCGGGATCGTTGATGAGCACTACTGAGGAGCTCTACAATATGGCGAAACGGCTGTTCGATACTTTTAGGTTTTCATTGGTGGTCTAACATTAAACGATTCATGATCTCAATCAAAAAGATTATGAACATGTCTAACCAAGATATAATCATGTAAATAAAGTTGAGGTCATTCATGTAGGTTTTGTGTTCATTCCGTCATTTAAATGTAAATTGTATCCAGATGCTTCAAACATTTCCGTCGTTGAAGGGTCAGCGAATATGGCTTAAAACATAATAGAATAACTGTATTATATTAGCGAAGGATTATTCTTCAAAAATTTAATATATTACTGAAATTTCTGTCTACTTTTTAATAACTTTTTAGTTTATTAACTTTTTCATATACTCTATAACTGTACAGATCAATTTACTACTAACCTGTAAAAAGTTAGATACCAGTCGGAATGGATCATTCGTATATTTATCCAACAGTGTACACTTGAACATTTAACATAGGACGATATGATACATCGAACCGGATTATCAAATCGATTACTCAGTTTATGTAAATCAATAAACTTCAGTAAAAAGACACTTGAAAACTTACTTCTAATCTTATAGATGGTCTGAATGGTCGTAATCCTGTCCATTCTTCAACTATTGGTGATTTGCCTAGTCCTCCATGCCAAGTGTTATCAATTCTTTGAAGAATATCTTTTGTAGATTCAGGTGATACTCTTATATCATCATCTGTTGTAGGTCTTTTTAAAACTGGAGGTAAATGTTCACGAAATCCTCCAAGAATTACACTCTCTTTTCCTGTATAACAATATGTATCATCGCGCTAATAAAAAGAGAGAGTAATTTAAGAAACTGTTAACATATCATTAGTTAGAATGGGTCGCTGTTAATCTTTAGACATGATCTAGACATGAGATAGAGGGTTTAATTTGATTGAAATCTAATGAAACAAAGAAATTATTGTTATATAGGTAGAAAAAGGTACTAAATACATACATGCCACACTTTAACATTCGATTTATGTGAGGGTTTGGATACTACCTGGGCGCCCAAACCGAAGCGAATGATTCACTTGAGGAGTTACACTCCGAGCCTTTAACCTACAGGTTTAATCCACAAGGTAGTGAAGCAACGTCAGGAGATTCAATCACACGGTAGCGGGTGACCAGTAGTTGGTTCATTAGCCATGTAAGGTGTGATCGATTAACGAACTCACCAATGATAAAGTGAAACGCCCACTACCACATTAACTTTCCTTGACCTTGTATGACTATGTCTCGCTTATTCACCAATCACAATTTAATGTTCATTACAAAATAATATTTGCCTTGTTGACTCATTTTTCCTATCCTCTAGTTGCTGTTCGGTATGTTATTTATGTCTTCGTTTTTCCCTGTGTTAATAGACAGTACTGTTTGTTTTGTACACTAACGGTGTTAATTGGTGTTTTAGAAACAATTAAAGTTTATCAAGCCAAATAGCTTACTTGTTTTGACTTTGGCTAAACCAAGACTCTGTGCTCGACAGTTTAGAGAATAGCTTAGAGTTAAACCTGTAGGAAATTGCTTCCTACAAGCCATTTGATCATTCAGAATCCTCTAGCCCACGTGCTCTATTGGTTTGGAATGACGGTTTTCAAACTCTCCTAGGTGGATCCTACATATTCACTAACCCGGTTGAAGCATTGGATATTTGTTTTCCGTCCTCTCAATTTCGGTATTAACCACTTTCAAAGCACTTGATCATTATTTTGACGACTCAAACATAGATCGTGACATATTCCAAGAAGTAAGTATAGTGGTTCAATTTTATTATTACACATAAAGTAATAATGCAAAAAAGTTATCACCTTAGTCAAGCATCGAGACTATGGAACTCCATCAGAGAATCGTTTATTCAATCACATGATGAGAGGTTGACTGAACAAAAATTATCTCGAGAAGACAGTCATTTACAAAGAAAATTAATGAAAGAAACTGATTAAATGCTTACAATGTAATTTAATAGTTGAATTCATGAGTCAATTAAAGCTAGACCACTATGGAAAATCCGGGAGCACTGGGTATCTGTTTGGCCCTAAGTTGGGACTCCTCAGCTCAGAAAATCCACGTTTCCGCTAGCGGGACTCAAATCCAGGACCTATCCGTTTCACGCGCGAACGCTTAACCTCTAGACCACTGAGCCGGAATCCAACAGCCATCCAGTACTTCCAGGTTTTCTATGGTGACTTAGCTTTAATTAACTCATGAATTTAATTATAAAATAACTAAAATCTCCACAAAACCCACTTTTGATAATACTTGCAATGCAATTGTAACACTTATTTTGATTGGACTAAGCACAGTGTCGAGACGGATCCCGCTAGAGGGATCGTCGATGCGCACTGTGGAGGATTCCCACAGTGGGACGAAACGGCCTTCCAGTGCTTCTAAGTTTTTCGTGGTGATCTAGCTTCAATTGATTGATGATCTCAACTGTTAAAATTACCATAATATCCGCAAAGCCCCGCCTGATATTAAAGCTTACCAATTAAACTGTCTTAGCTAAGAGATCATAACCCAACTCAACCCAAATCATCCACTTGAAATACAAGTACTCAGAATTTTATTCTCTTACACGTACAGCTTTATCGAATAGACTATTTAGAATAAATCATTTAAGGAAATCAATATAATTGTCGTCATCACACACACACATATACATCTAAACATATTCGATAATCTTATGTACAAATAGCTTATAAAACTTGAAAAAATGTGAAGTTAAAATAGTCACACTAAATATAGTTCCGACAGTAAAAAGAAAATCGATTATTGTGTATTAATTATTTAGTTGTTCTGATATTGTGATGTGTGCTACTGATGTTGAACGATAGAAGTAGTATATATCATCAATCGAAAGTAACAATGTCTGGTGATCTAGTTATATAATATACCCTTGTTGGTCAAGGTAATTTTACGTTGGTTTTCAGGAGAATCAGACATCATCCAGACTTTCACGTGGCAACCCAAACAGTAAAGCTCAATCTCGCTTCACAGGAGAACCAGACACTGTATAGGCTTTAAAAATACAATCTGAATAGTACAGCTCAATCCTGTGGCACAACCACACAGGTACCAAGCAACCTGGTGGACGATTTGCACCATCCATATGCACATTCACATCACATGTATAGTGATTCCGATCAATGATCGTGTGAATCAATTATGCAAAGCACGAACAGGAAAAAGTTGACACATCCCGTTTTTACACGACAGTCAAACTCATTATTGTTAGCAATGGAGACATGGCTTACAATATCCCAATGTTAATGGCCCATGAGAACACTGAAAAGTTACCACCAGTATGAATAAAATCGATTAACCAGCAAACCGATTTTGTGCGTGAACAGTTAGCAAAATTTGTCACAGCAATGCTGAACCATCCACAATACCGATGGCAAACCTTCAGACTCATATGAGACCTTCAGCTCTACATAACCATAAACTTTTTATAGTGATTCATTAATGAAACGTATTGATTTTGAAATTGGTTGACAGTGTGTGTCTGTGAGTGCGTGTGTGTGTTTGAATAGCATAATGTTTTTTCGATAGACATGGTGAACTACTTCACTTTCTATGATGAATAAGTAAAATATCTGAAATTCATTACTGAAAGTATCTAGATATTCTAATACCAACTTTGAGAAGCACAACTTTCAATTGCTGATTCACATAATGAATAATGAATAAATCTAGCTAACTGTTGTTGTAGTGAAATATGACTAAATAAGTAATATTGTTTAATCATATCTTACTCAATAGACTGCCGTGCCACCAATCTAACAAATGATACAACATTCACTATTTAATTGTATATAATGACAATGTCACCCGTTTGTAGTGAACCAGAACACAATTGGGATGAATCAAGAATATTTGAATGCAAAATTACTGAATCTCTTAGTAAAATCCGAGAACCATACAGTGAATACTTCATTTGCAAAATGTTAATCAATCGTCTCAGACTTCATTGTTCTTGCGTTTCCACACCAATCATTCTCTGTGCTCATTCTCTCTCTTTCGATCTTATTAACCTTCTGTCACCAGGCATTTCATCTTCGATTGATGGTACATACTACTTACATCTAGATAAGATGGTGGTTGAAGGTAGTCAACAGGAAACTTTGGACCTAGTTTCCATGCTATTTGACACTCGTCAGAAAGGTGTACCTGTAATCTTAAGAGAACTGATGCTCCCTGACGTATTTGGTTCCATGTCGTCCAACTTCACAGTTAGAGACTATCTGGGCAACGACTGACTTCCCATCAGGGAGCACCAGTTCCCTCAAGATTACAGGTACATCTTGCTGACTAGTGCCAAATAGCATGAAACTCGGGTCTAGAGTTTTCTGTTGGCTGCATCCAACCACTATCTTATCTTAACATAATGCACGCAGTATCGAGTCACCTAGACTAGTAGTCACGTTGCAACTTGGTCGATAGGATTCGATTTACACTAAAGAGGCTCTGATACACATGACATTGATCACCACCCAGTGATCGACCAAATGTCTGTTGAGATCAGTAGCACACATCACATGTTCATTACTGGTTTGTATTGATCAGCAATATATATTCATATATATCTAAAGTCAAACTGTAGTCAAAATGGTTCAGTAATATCGTTCCTAAATATTGAAATTGTTTGGTATTGGCAAGAATCTCTATAGACAGATTACCTTAAAATTACAAATATATTGTGCTAATAAGTGTCCAGCATTATGAATCGAAATATAAACCTTATTTATTATTTATAATTCATTTACAGTAAATAGTTAGTGTAATGCAAGTATTCATATACAATTAAACATACGAGTTGCAAATGACACCCATAAGATTCAATTGTTTAAAGTTATACAATTACTTACCCTGTAGTGTCAGTTATTATGTTAAGCCCATATAGGCTATTCTAACTTCTGGATAAGCTAATCTATTCACTCTTCTTGAGTCACATTTTGACCTTATCACTTGTTCGCTTGTTAACCATGACTGCTTTTTATATCTGTAGCTTATTTCTATCTGATTGAATAATGCTTGATTAAATAGAATTGACACATACGCCTTCTCTATTAGACGTCCTTTCATTTCGCTTCACTTTGCCTTCTCCACTTCCTTTGCTGCGATTCTCTGATTGCCTGTTCCGATCAACGAGTGTACCATATATATTTCGAAGGCAATCATTCATATCATATAAATGAAGTCAATTCCTGGGTCACTTAAACCCGTCTTCTTGGCAAAACTGACAATTTATATATATGGGGAGGGTGGAGGTTCAGGAGATTGATTTAACATTTAGATAGTGTTCTCCAAAGGCTAACCTAACTTGATCATGAGTGCGCACTGCTGAAGAGGCTCACAATGGGACGAAATGGCCGTCCAGTTTTTATAGGTTTTCTATGATGATCTAGCTTCAATTAGTTCATAATCTCAACTAGTGAAACAAACTTAAAATACAAATGATAACTGTGAAACATTAAATAAAGATTCTATACAAGTTTACAAGTTTATTGAAGTGTAGACTTATGAACATATCAAACATCCCGAGCTCCAAATTTTGGGGAAAATTTCACCCATTTTGGGGAAGACACTATGATGAACTTCAGGGAAATTTTTTGGGTTTTATTGCCATTTCCCCAAAATTTTCTTAGACCTGGGGAAACTCCCAGATATTTCTCCAAAATTCCCCTCTAACCTTGGTCAAGGTCATTCGACTTGGGGGGTTTCCCCAAAATCTCCTCAAGGTTCCCAGAAATTTCCCCAAACATTGGTGAAGGTCATTTGACTTCGGGTGTTTCCCTAAAATACCCCAAAATTTCCCCAAACTTGGGAGTTTGGAATAGAACATAGAACACAAACAGTGTAATCTTTGATCTCATATTGTTAAAAAGAAAAAAAAGATGAAAGAAACACATTCACTTACCCCAAAATAGAATCCAAATTTCATCCATGGTGCTAGAACACGTACTAATTGACCTTTAACTGGTCTTATTTCTGGATCATGAAATAAATAACCTGATCCTAATCCAGTACAATTAATAATTATATTGATTTTTTGTTGTTTAGCCCAATAATATAGTTCATTTGAAGAGGTAAACGCTTGCTCTCTTTCACTATAAATAGATTGATCATTTGGAATTAAATTTTTAAGTTCATTCAATAAGTAATTCATATAATAACGTGGTTCTACAATACATGTTGTATAATAATAAGCTGATTTAATATGCTTAGCAAATCCAATAGACTGAATCTATTAAGTTAAAGCAAAAAAGGAAACAAGTTTGAGTATGGAGCTATAGAGATGATACAGTTTTTGAATTGAGATCGTGTTAGATCACTAATGAATACTTGAAAACACTGTATGACTGTTTCGTCCCATTGTAAGACTTCTCAACAGTGCATATCCATGATTCCGCTTACGAATCGTTGGATACTGGTTCAATGGTTAAGGATTCGTGTGTGAGATCAATAAGTCCTGAGTTCGAGTCCCACGAGTGCGATTATGAATGCTCACTGTTGAAGAGTCTTACAATAAGACGAAACATCTATCCAATACTTTCAGGTTTTCAATGATGATCTAACAATCATCGATTCATGATCTTAATAAAAAAACATCTTATTTACCTCTTCTTCATCTAAAAATACAGTTTTTCCACATAATTTACTTATAAATGGTCTATCAAATTCATTATATTCTGATAATTGATAAGTTGGATGAAAGTATACACCAGTATTCGATGAATTCCAACTAGTTGCTAATTTCCAATATTGTTCACGTCCTTTATTACACCAACGAATAAAATCATTGAATTGATCCTGATCATATTCTGATCCTGGTAATAATTTAGGATCTGGTCTAAATATACCAGCTGCACCATAGCTAGTAACCATAACATTTTTCTTATCAGATTGTATAAGAATTTCTACATTTGAATAATTTTCTTTAATTAAGAATGCTGTTGATAGACCAATAATACCAGCACCAATGATACCAACTTTCATTGATAATATTTTTGTAATATTATTGTTATTTTGATGTTATTACCCTACTTAGTAACTAAATTGATCATGACCTTGACATTGGAAATCTGATTGGTTGCCTAAATGGAAAAAGAATAAATTAACTAATAAAAATGTACTGATTAAATAATCAATAATACTGACTATAAATCAATATGGATAAAATGAGGAATATTGTCGTGGATTGGTTGAAGTTAGATATTAACACCGTTGGATGTTGGCCAGCTCAGTGGCCTATGGTTAAGCGCTCGCGCGCACGCGACTGATGGTTCCTGAGTTCGGATCTCGCGTGGCGGGATCGTGGATGCGCACTGCTGAGGAGTCCCACACTAGGACGAAACGATCGTCCACTGCTCCCAGGTTTTCCATGGTGGTCTGGCTCCAGTTGACTCATGACTTCAACTATTGAAATTGTCAATAAGATTGATTGTGAAATCATAAAACAATAACACAAATAAAGTTCGATTGGACCATGGTAACTGAATTCAGTGTATCAGATAGTAACAATCTATCGATTATTAGTAGATATTATGATGTTAAGCAAATATGAATAATGGTTAGCAGTGGAATCCAGGATGTGAGTTTCGTCCCGTTTGAGACTCGTCAGTTCGATATACCTGCATCATAGATTTGATGTTCACTCTGGGACTCAAACTCATTACTGTTCACTTCCAATGCCATTGTGTTATCCTCTTAGCTACTGAGTCCTTATAGCCACCTCCTTGTGCAACAGGGTGAAGTTTAAATTCATTTGGTGTTGTTTTACTTGTATCATCCCAGTGTTATTTAGGGCTGCAATTGATCAGCTACTTGGTAGCATATATGTATCCTATGCGGATTGCCTCGATATAGGCTTAAGTCACAAGCTTTTTTAGGCAAAGATAAATAGTGGTTAGCAGTGGAATCCAAGACACGAGTTTCGTCCTATTTGGGATTGGTCAGCTGGATACACCTGCATTTTAGAGTTGATGTTCGCTGAACGAAATAGATACACCATACTCTTAAACATATCAGATTACCTAAGTGGATAAGTCGATAATGTTTGAAGCGAACGATACTGGGTTCGAGTCCCGGAGTGAACACCAACTCCAAGATCATGTTTCGTTGTTACGTACAGTGTGTTGTTCTTTCTCGACAGACTCGTTTAGCAATAAGTTTCTTCAGAATTCCTCCTTTTTGATTATTGTGTTGTAGTGAACTAGAACAAATAAGTGGAGACAATCGAATGTATTTTAATACAAAATGACAGAATATTTTAGTACAATCTGAGAACTATATAGCGAATACTTCATTTGTAAAATGTCAATCAATCGTATCAGTCTTCATTGTTCCAATCATTCTCTTTCCTTCGATCTTCTTAACCTTCTGCTGTCAGGTATTTCATTTTTGATTGATGATACATACTACTTATATCTATCGACATCAGTAGCACACACCAGTGTTAGATATTATTCTCCTTGTGTTACGTTGCAGTTGTTCAGTCTATCAAGTTTTTGTAGATCCGGACATTGTGCTAGGAGTATATCGCAGTTATTTATAATTAGCAATTACTGTAGGTTGATCACAATAATTTATTTTCAATTGATTAGTCACTAAATGGTGATCAAAGTCATGTGTATTAGGCCCTTCTTAATGCAGAATGAATCCAATCAATCAAGTTGCAATGAATCCACTAGTTTAGGTGATTCGATATTGCGTGCACTATGTTGAGATATGATGGTAATTGAAGGTAATCAACAAGAAACCGTGAACCTAGGTGTACCTGTAATTTTGATAAGGAAGGATTCTCCTTGACGGATTCAATCCAATGTCATCCAGCTTCGCGTTCAGGGACGTTACCATTAAGCTTTCCGGTCCATGGCTGACTTTCTGTAGGACTAACATAATGGTGGTCATCACCCAGTGAACAATGACTTGTAAATACACAGTGATTATCAGTCGCCTCAAGATTACAGGTAAACCTAGGTTTGTGGTGCGTGCTACTTATATTGATATAAGTAGTATATAACGCGAGTCAGGAATGTAATGTCTGGCAGCAGAAGATTGGGAAGATCAAGAAAGGAAGAACGGGAATAGAAAGCAATTAGTGTAGAAATGCAAGAACAATGAAGTCCGCAACAGTTATTGAACATTTTGCAAATTGGTTATTATAGTATGGTTATTCTATTTTACCAAGTAACTCTGTAATGTTTTGATTAGTATATTACGGTTGTCCTCACCTGTGTTCTTCCTCACTACATTTGGTGTCGCTGCCTCGACTAAGGATGAAGATTTCATGGCCGAAGGAAATTGAGGACGGAGATGTGCTGAGCTTCCTGAAGGAGTTAGAGGCCGTGGCGGAGTTGGTGTGAGTGAAGGAGCCGAAGGCGAAGGTGGTGGTGCTAGGAGCGCTGCTGATAGGCTGGGCAAAAGGCTGTATATAACAGCTTGGATGGCGCTGGCGGAAATACGACATGGGAGACAATCACGGATTGGTTGATGCCGGAGTTTGACAACTCAGTGGACGGGGAGTAGGCACTGCAGAAGTTCCGGTTGGTGAGGTTGTCGGTCGATGGTGACCCACTGGTTCTGGCTGTGGAGCTTACCAGGTTGTTACGCCGTGCGCTGCTTAATCTGGATGAACAGTCGGAGGTAAAGTTATTGGCGTCGTAGTTTGTCGAGAGTGAGCCTGCCACCGTTTTCCAGCAGCTGAAACCAGTAAACGCAGCATAATCTATGGATATTAGTGAACTAACGAAGGTGACTCGACAGCTGATGACACGAACAGTAGCTCCAGTTGGGTGAGGAAAGCAGGAGATAAATATTGTCGAGAAGAAGATTGAAGAGCTGAAGCGTGAGATTGCGACAATAAGGGTGAATCATAAAAGGTATGATAAATGTTCAATAATTGTCTTGAACTTCACTGTTTTTGCATTTCTATACTAATTGCTTTCTATTCCCGTTCCTTCTTTCTTGATCTTCCTAATCTTCTGCTGTCAAGACGTTACATTCCTGACTCGCGTTATATACTACTTATATCAATATAAGTAGCACGCACCACAGGTCTAGAGTTTCTATTCAAAATGAAACTTATCCATTATATAGAATATATATTTACCGAATGAACTGTTTATCAATGATTTCTATGTATCATTCATATTCTATTCATACATAAATTTTATCGGATAATTCATAACCATAAACATACAATTAATGAATTAGTTTATTTATCCATTGAATAAACAATGTTATGGATCAAAGACATTGACCTGAAACTGTTTACAATCTTATTTGTTGTTATGGTTAAGGTCAGTAAAACGAATTCGTTTGACATGATCAAACAATAAAGTGGGGTATGATATATATATCATATTGATTGAGCGGGGAGGGGAAGGGGGAGTGGGGGGGGTAGAATGAATTCCATGATACAATAAATTAGTGTTTATTGTCAGTGATTATAATTTTAATCTTACAATTATAAGTAACTGTATGGTGAAAATTGTTTTTCATTAAGATACTCAGTAGATCGTAGAAAATTCTTTATAATTAGTTTTTCATTGTTTATTTGAATAGATAAATATTGATACAAAGGAGGGGTATCAAATACATATGCATCATACAAGTCTTTTGATTTGTGTGTGGAATGTAATACTGCTCGGGTGCTCAAACCGAAGCAAGTGGTTTTCTTAAAGGGGTCACACTTGGAGCATTTGACTTAAAGGTCTGATCTTCAGGGCAGTGGAGTGACGTTAGGAGATTCAGTCACATAGTAGACGGTGACAAATAATTGATTTATACATCATTTTTTCTTTCAGAATACTCGAGCTCATGTGCACCATTGGATTGGCGAGAAGGTAGTTAGTAAAACTTCTCTAACAGCGGCTGTATACACATGGCCATGTGAGAGCATTTCGAAAGAGACAGAGCTGACTCTCACACCGTACTAAAGCATTTCGGGGCAAATCGAGTAGTGATGTAGCATAATAATCACATAAATTCAGAATGATTATAAAATAACGTCACAGCACGCTGATTAACTACTTCTTAAGCAATCAATGGTACCGGATACTTAGAGAAGACTTTAAAATCGTCTTATATAAAACCTTCTTATTGTACTTCTTACTTCCATCAACCCTTGTTATTTGGAATATAATGATGTTCCTAATCAACCGTGTTCTGATATGGGAACTTGTCGTATGAATTTGTGTTTAAGAATACCAAACAATAAGTTTGACTGGTTCGTATTAAGACAGTTCATAACATTACCTACCAATAAGTAGTATGTATTTGTTGATAAAAGAAACTACTCCTTTTTTGGTGATCAATTGTCTATTCATAAAAGATTAATCATAGAGAAACTGTACAATTATCATAGTCTCTGAATATGAAAGTAAATGATGAATGATAAACTTATCATTTAAGTAAAATATATGTAATTTCAGTGGTTGAGATTATGAACCGATTGATTTCAGATCACCGTGGAAAACCTGGAAGCACTGGATGGCCATTTCGTCTTATTATGGGACTCTTCAGCAGTACTCATCCACGTCCTACAATCCGAGTCTCACAACAGGATGAAACAGCTATCCAGTATTTTCAGATTTTCCATTGTGATCTAGTGTTAATTGACTCATGATCTCAAACTGTTTAAATTACTATAATATCTACGAGAAAACCCCTTCTGATACTAAAATATATGTATCAGATAGTTTGATTTAATTGCCTGATATTAATGAGTTCAGGTTTTGGGAAAATTGTCATCTATTATGAAGGTGTTGAGATTAGATGGTGGTCTGAGGTAGTCGACAGGAAGCGCTGGACCCGCGTTTCGTGCTACTTGGCACTCGTAAGCAAGGTGTACCTGTAATCTCGAGGGAACTGGTGCTCTCTGGCGGATTCGATCCCGTGTCACTCAGCTTCGCAGTTAGAGACGTTACCACTGAGCTATCCGGATAGCGATTGACCTCCTGTAGGACTGAGATGTAATCACAATTGATTGATCACTGGGTGGTGATCAATGTCATGTGTGTCAAGTCCTTATTTAGTGCAGATCGAATGATATCGACCATGTTGCAATGTGGCCATCAGTCTAGGTGACTCGACCCAATGATCAATCATTTATGATTATGAAGATGTGTCTGGTATAAACCCACTTAGTGTTGTTTACTTGAAGCTTCCCATTGTTGTGTAGAACTGCAATTGATCAATCTTTTATTGACATATGTGCATCCTGTGGGGATTGCCTTAATTGATAAGTATTACGTGCAAAGATGGATAGTGGCTAGCAGTGGAATCCAGGACGCGCGTTTAGTCCTATTTCGGACTCGTCAGCTGGATGTGCCTGCATCCCAGACTTGATGTATACTCTGGGACTCGAACTCAGGAGTTGGCTATCAGAACTCAGTATCTAAGTGTATAACGCGATAGAATTTGAAGCCAAAGATACTGAGTTCGAATTCTAGATTGAACATCACCTTTGAGATGTAGGCACATCCAACTGACGAGTCTCAAATAGGACGAAACCACTCATCCTTTATTCCACTTCTAACCACTAACCATCCATCTTTGCATATAAATTCAAACAATATCGAGGCAATCTGTATAAGATGAACATATGTCAACAAATGACTGATCAATAACAGTTCTACATAATAGTAGAAAGATACATATAAACAATATGAAGTGTATTTTACATCTAAATATGTTGATTATATGTCATAATGATTAGTTTCTATTGTTTAGTTGAAAACCCTCATTCATCAAAATCTATTTCATTCATATTAGTTACTATTGGTTCAATGGTATGATTTCATAAAGTAATTGAAACATTTTGTATGAAAACTTAATGAATGAATCAATAATGAAGTTAGTACTTAAGTGAATTCTATTCAATTGACCTTATATACATATATATATATATAACCTTAAATGATCAAATATATTGGACTGGGTAACTAATTTGGAATAAAGAAAAGTATATTTTTATTATCTAAAATAAGGTTGGTTTATTTGTATTTTATAATTTTGTAGTACTTACTTACTTACTTACGCATGTAACCCTTCATGTAGGAGCATCGGCTGCTCATCAGCTTTCACCATCCAACTTTGCCTTGGATAATTCTATCAAGTTGTTTCCAGTTTCTATTGATCCTTTTCATGTTTGTTTCCAATTCTTGGACTGTGTATTCCTTGATTCTCATCTTTTATTTGTTTCTCTTCAAGATTTCAAATTAGGGTTTATCTTGTGATTCAGTTTGATGATTTCCGTATTGTTCATTTCCAACGTCTTTTCCTAATTTCTTCTTCAGCTGGAAACTGGTTTGTTCTCTCCCGCAGAAGGCTGTTGCTGATGGTATCCGGCCAATGAATGTTGAGTATCGTGCGTAGACAATTGTTTATAAATACTTGTACCTTCTTGATGATGGTTGCAGTAGTTTTCCACGTTTCAGCTCCGTACAGTAGAACTATTTTTACGTTTGTATTAAAGATTCAGACTTTGATATTGATTGACAGTTGTTTTGTGTTCCATATGTTGTTCAACTGGAGGAATGCAGTTCTTACCTTTTCAATATTCACCTTTACATCTTTATGAGATCTTTCAACATTCATCGATGATATTTTTTCCATTAATGAATCTCGAGTTATACCTTTGAATAGTTCACTTAGATTAGTCTTTTACAATATGTTTATTGTAGATTTTATAAGTATTACCATTAATTTGTCATGCTTTAATTGTATAAAAGTTTAAAGGAATACTCAAAATACACACCGATAACTTAACAGTCTTGTAGTGACTGTGCTTCGTTGACCAATCACCCTCGTAACCGTTATCATATAATCCTCAACGGTGTTTGAAATCAGAAGGCAAAGAGAAACAGCGACTGCAGTTTTATTAGAAGATAACTCAGACCACAAAGCAGAGAGGTAAATGAATGAGTCAGCGAACCGAGAGTGTAGAGTGTGTAGAGCGTAAATGTACACCTATATATATATATATAGGGAAATGAACGGATCATCGAATCAATTAAGCAGCAAATAATAAAGCTAGCAGAATGAATATATGCGTAGGCAGTAAGCAACGTTCAAGCGTACATATTTCATACAAGCACAACAGTAATAAAGGTACCATAAACTGTTATAGTACGGATGACTTTGTCCGCTAAATAAGTTAACCAAAGGGCTTAACCGAATTAAATGAGAACAAACTCAATGGCATGTGAGTTGCTATAGCCTTCCTGAAGTTTGTGCTGAGCGATGTAAACTCCATGACTAAACTATCCATCTCAAACAATAAAACTTCATCAGATCGTTTAACGTTTGATCTCATGTTAGATTGTGTATTTGAAGTGTTTAAAAAGTCTAGCAATGAAAAAGAAACAATTATCCTTTAATGAATGGTTTACATTCGTAATCTGGTTATTGTTCACGGAACTATATCCGTTTGATTCAATGATTTAATGATCAAGAATAGAATTCACTGGATGTTGTTTTACTTGTATCTTCCTATTGTTATTTAGAACCACAATTGATCAATCTCATGTTGGTATATGTGCTTCTTATTCAGATTGCCTCGATATAGCTTTAAGTCATAAGCGTTTTAAGCAAAGGTGGATAGTAGCACAGGATGCATATATGTGTATATATCTATCGATATCAGTAGCAAACACCATACTACAATCTCCATAAAATTTCCTACGTTGATATGAGTCAATTACTATCACAATTTCATTTGACTTACCTGAACTTAGTGTTTGTTCCACTTTTCAGATATTCAGTCAGAATACAATCATCAGCATATTGAAATCTTAGTTCATTTACCTCAATCGACATCATGTATAACAATATTCTTCTTGCAACCACGTTTATTATTCTTTCACTTCATGCTTCATACGCTGCTCACATGAACACAAGTCTAACAGCTTCGTTTAGTATTGGTTTAGGAATAACAACATTTGATGTAATTAAACAAATGGTATTAACATCTATGACTCAATCAAATAAACCAACTAGTCCATTATTGTTTAATTTTACGGATCCTCAGAATACACTTAGCAAATGGATTGAAGTATCCGATACAGTTCGAGTTGAAGGAAGATCTAAAGCTACACTTGTACCACATATTGGATATGTAGGTTTTTATTCAAATTTAATTAAATCGGAAAACATATTTAGAATTATCGATCAGCAATCTTCTTTTATTTACTTAATCCACAACCAAGTGGTGCTTGCTTTGCTGGTGTCGACTACATATTAGATGCTTGGGATTTGTCAGCATATACAGGTGTTGTGATTGATCTACATAGACAAGGTCAAAATTCTAATTTCAAATTAATCTTCTATGGAAACTGTTCAGAAATATTCACTTGTCAATCATATGAGTCATTTTTCGAGGTAATGTGATATTCAATTGTATAGAATAATTCATTATGTTTTTCTATGAAATTTTTATAGACATCTGGAGAACGTCAACAAATAAAATTACCATTTAGTACATTCAAACCATACTTTCGTGGAGAACCGAAATTTGATTTACCATCTTTAGATATAACTCAACTATCACGATTCGGTATACAATCATATGGTGGTATCTATGCACCGACAAAACAATTTGGTCCAGGTTCCATTGAAATATTCACTATTTCAGCATATAAGGAAGATCAAGTGCCAGCCTAAAGAAACCAAGACTACGTGATAGGTAGTACTTATTGATATTATGATTCTGTTTAGTTTGTATTAGGTAGTTTTATCAATAAATTTCATATATTGACCAAAGAGTTTTGAATGTTTTCATGAGTTCCTTGGAATTCACATGAACATTATTGAAGACAAACGGTGATGTATGTCATCTGGTTGATTGAAAAAAGTAATCAAATAGTTAAGAATATGTTCTGTCTATCCCAAAAAAGAGATTATCAATTCAATAGTTTACATAGATTAGTCAGTATTTACTGGATCATCAAAACTATATGATGAATTCGAGGTTTGAAATGACTGTAAAACTGTCATAAATCCCCTGTTGTATTTAGAATAAACTGGTAAGACAGGTGAAATCAGACTGAAAATTTTGGCAAATGATTTGTATTCAACGACGGACTATGATTGATAACAGCATAAGTAATGTAATATATGAACCTCAGTTCATGGTAGGCTTAAGGAGATTATTTTCATCAAGTTATGATCAAAGAGCAGCTGAGTCCCATATTAGGACAAGACGGCTGTCCAGTTCTTCCAGGTTTTCCATAGTAGTCAAGCTTCGAATGACTCATGACTCCTCAGCAGTGCGCATCCACAATTCCGCTCGCGGGATTTGAACCCACGGTCTTCAGTCTCGCACGTGAACGCTTAACCTACTGAACCACTGAGCTGGCGTCCAATGGTGTCAATGTGTAACCTCAACGAAACGGCCGTCTAATGCTTCCAGGTTTTCAATGGTGGTCTAACATTAATCAGTTCATGATCTCAATAAAAAACTTAACAATCTCCACAACCCTCAAACTCATACAGTAAACAGTTAATTTGCAAAATATCAATCAATTTTCTTAAACTTGACCGTTCCTTTTGCAAATATCAGTCCATCATCCCACATTTCATTGTTCAAGCATTTCCAAACCTATTGATTTCCATTCCCGTTCTTCTCCTTTCGATCTTCCAATGAAATACACTCTATACCTGACCATCTTTATATACTACTTATATAGATATAAGTACAGTATAATGTCAAGCCCTAATCATTGCATGTCTTTTTTTCACAGTAAAAGGATCTAAAATTCATATCCATGAATATTTAGCACATTCAATTTCTTAGTTTCATCAGTGTTCGCGGTGTCAAGCATTTTCGTACATATTTAGGTTCATTTAGTGAATGAATACCGTAAGAGCTAGATTTTCACAGAGGATTTCATTCCAAGCTCTAACTATCAGTTTATTTCCCAATCAGTATGTATAGGTAAATACCTGATTAGTACCTGAAAATTAGGACTATAGGTGTTTGTGTGTGTATGTGTAATATTCAGATTATAACTTTCCTTACGTGAAAAAGATGAATAGCAAGTGGAAAGAACTGGAGAGGATTGCCCAGGACAGAGCTGCGTGGAGATGCTGGCAAGCGGCCTATGCTCTTCCATGAAGGATAACAGGCGTACGTAAGAAGGTGAGTAAGTAGCGTTTGTGGTATCAAGTATTTTCTTACATATCCAAGTTCATTTGGTGGACGAAAACTGATGATCTCATTCCAAGCCCTAACTATCAATTTATTTGATTTTACAACCAGTAAGTTGGAATGCTATACAGTGTTGTGTTTATAGAAGTCGACTGAAACGATATAACTTGTAACATCAAGCTATTATATACAGCAATCATACACTAAACGAACAGAAAAATGTTCGAAGATACCGGGTATTAAACCTATTAAAGCCAGGTCAGTGGTCTAATAGTTAAGCGCTGACGTGCGAAATTGATGTGTCCTGGGTTCGAGTCTCGCCAGACGAGACCGTGGGTGTGCACTGTTGAGGAGTCCTACAATAGGACGATACGGTCGTCCAGTGCTTCCACGTTTTTCATGGTGATATAGCTTCAATTGACTCATGATCTCAACTTATAAAATTATTATACATTTATTGAATATCCGACAAAAGAATGGTTCATTCTACTTGTACTAACACTGATCTGTGAAATTCAATCTACTTGTGATTTCAGTAGTATCCCTTTAAAACTTTAACTGTTCATTATATTTCCTTACGGATTTAATGAACAGTTGCTAGGTATATACCTGATTCGTACCCCAGAATTCGAACTATAGGTGTGCATGTACAATTTTTAGATCATAATTCTCATCAAATCTTTTGAATTATATGATATTTATTACAGCCATATCCCTTTCATGGATATTCATCTCTGAGGATATGCATGTGCGTGCTTGTATATAACTGGTAATCTCATGTTCGTTTATTCAATTGCGATTAATGTCTCACACGTCCATTGTATATAATCAGATGATCTTTGTATTCCACTCTCAACAGACAATATGAAGCTGATCACATTCATGATATGTTGACTGGATGAAACTCATAGTCTCATTGTAAGAGGAAAGTATAAAAGTAAATGGGTATGTAATCGATTGTAGAGATTAGGTACTCTTCTTTGAAGGTGAGTCATTCAAATGTTCAGCATTGGATTAGTGTTTCGTTAACTTTTTGAATTTTACCTCTAAACCATGGATTCACACTGATGTATAATATGTCAATAACAGTAACCGTTAAATATAACAAATCGCTGTGGTCATCAATATTTAGAGGAGTTCACCACTTGGAGTGGGTGATGTCAGTGCAATATTCAGAATCAACCGAAGTTAGAAATGTGAACTGTGAGACGCTAACCTGATGATCTGAGTGTTAAGGACTCGACATGGTATTATACGTGATCATGGTTGGATACTACTCTGGAGATTCATACTAGAACTATAAGTAATATCCACTGATTTTGAATCTCCCATAGTTGTTGAACTGAAGTCCTCCTTTGATGAGACGTTATGAGTTGAACAATATCTACATATATCTAATAAATATTCTATAGGTAATGTATGGTGTTTAATGTTTGTGTTGATACTTTGTCAACGTAATTTCCAACGATTCACACGATGTATTACACAAAATCGAGTCAGTGTTCACCTCACAACACAGAAACCTCAAATACTCAACCAACTTAAAGTGGTCCACAAAATAGTTAAATAACACAAATGATATGAACTTTGATCCTTTCACTTCATATCTATGGAATTTTGAATGTAAATAGAATATATACTCTGAATTGAGTTATAGTAAAGTTAGGTAGTTTAGTTAACTAGTACATAAATATTAGGCTTGTAAAGTGTGAAGGTGTGCACCTAATACGAAATATCAAATGTTTGTGGAATAGTAGAAAAGTATCATTGAAAGTAACTGTGAATCACTGTGATATTCTGAGCTAACATATACGGATGGAACAATTAGAACCCAGTCGAATAACCAAACACATTCCGGCTCATCGATTCTGAGTAGCATATATCAGACGATTTCTTGTTAATATAATGATTGATCTATCCAAACAGAAGTTGTCGCTGTGCAAGTTTACTGATAAAATAATCCACTTTAATTGAACCGGGAATTTGGGTGACATGATGAGTTAGCCATCTGCAGACCAAATGGTTAAAATGCAACAGTTTAACTTTCTCATTTACGTTGGTTCACTATGTCATATGACCATAATTCTCTGTTACCAGTGATAAATATCTAACCACCAACACTGTATGCAACTTCACGATAGTTTACCATAGTTTTAATGAGAAATAATGACCGAACTAATGAAAATCTAGTGCTTTCAGGTTTTTAATGGTGGTCCAGCATCCATCGCTTCATGATCTTTACCAAAAACTTAACAATCTTCACAACCCCTAAAGTAATGCAAATATGTTAAGAACGTAGCAGTGGTAACTGAACTGTGTTTCGGTGGTTGTATAGTCGATTGGTAAATGATTGACAGGGTATCGAAAATAACATGCAACTGATACAACGAAACTGGTAAGTGTTCATCATAATTTCCAGTAAGAAGTAGTCTTCATTAATTGACCAATGAATAGCGGTCGAAATCACACTTATCTAATCTTCTCAGTGTTGATCGAGCTTCAAGTGATCCCATTGATAGAATTCAATCAGCGTTGAGAAGCGAAGAAGCATAAAATTAGTCCCTATTCAAGGATCTATCAGTGTGAACATCCCAGAAGTTTCTGAAACTACATATTTAACTCACTAACCGGTATGAGGTAGACCACTATTGAATACCTGTCAGTATTGAAGGGCTGTTTTGTCACAGTATGAGAGGACACATCGTTGCGCACCCATTATCATGCATCAGAAGACACAATCCGCTCTCAGAGAGATAGCCTAACATATAGACATCTAAGTAGGCATCCAAACGTGTTAATGTCGAACTTTGATTAGATCAACAATATTGTGCAAATTTCATCCATTTCCTGAGCAGGATAACTGTCCCACACCTCGCGTGATTGCATTCCATGTATCACGGTTTCCCACTACAACTACAAGTATTACATATTGAAGCTAGTTACTAGTGAGAACACGGTGATCATACGTTAGGCTCTCAGATGTGAAGACGAGCATTTACAAAGATCAGGAATTATGTACTTCGATAAAACGGCTTCGGAGTGCTTCCAGATATTTAACGATGGTCTAGCTAATATCCTTCCATGATCTCAATTATAAAAACGTCATCAGTTGACGTGACTTCCATTGGTTTCCATAGTTTGGTTAGTGTAACTAGAATAACACTGTTTATTCTTGGTTGCCGACTGACATTAACTGATCTGGGTTGATTGCCACGGCATGTGTGAACGTGATGGAAGTTGGAGCCAGTGCAGAGTTATGAGTGTGCACTGGTGACCGTGAGAGTATTTGTGATAGTTCAACAATTCAGTCAGTTTAGCTGGAAGAGCCCTGTATATATTCAAAACGATTGCCTATGTGATATGAAGCGATTTCGATTGCAATATTAGTTGCAACTTAACAAATTGTGATTTGGTAATACTTAATCATTTGGCGGGTTTCAGTATTCATGAATGTTGTAGCTGTGAATAAGTCCACAAAATCAACAGCTCTGTACGTCCTCGATATTTGGCGCTG